CCCTCAATGTATAAACAAATGTTAGAGCATTCATACCATGGAATATTATTCAGCAATGCAAAGAAATGAGCTTTAGATACACTCAACACTTGGCTGGATTGCAACAGAATTAATACTGAGTGAAAATAACCAGTATCAAAAGGCTATGGATTACATACTATATGATTCCATTTATGCAACACTTTCAAAATGCCAAAATTAAGAGATGGAAATCAGAATAGAAACTGTCAGGGATTAGTAATGGGGAAAGGGATCTTTGCAGAGGCAGAACAATTGTGTATCTTTTTTTGACTTGGCTGCATGACTTGCAGGATCTGTCCCTATCAGGGATTCAACCTGGGCCCCAGAACTGAAAGCTCTGAGTCCTAACCACTGGACCACCAGGGAATTTCCAACAATTCTGTCTCTTGATTGTAGTGACGGTTACACAAACCAGCACATGTGATAAAACTGTATAGAACTACACACACAAACATGCATGCACATACACTCATTCAGATACACACACGTGCATGCGAAACCGGCAAAACTGGAAAAAACGTCTCTAAAAAATACCCATTTCAGTTTTCAGGTTTTAACACTGTACTATACTTCTGTAAGATGTTATCATTGGGGAAACCTGGGGAAAGGCTACACAGGACCTTTGGGTACTATGGATGCTGTTTCTTGTGAATCTGGAATTATTTCAAGATAAAAACTTGAAAGAAAAAACAAATCAACAGGGCCTATTGGTCATCTGTTCCTTAATTTCCCCAAACATGTACCTCCTTTGAATACCCCACACTGGCATATAGCCATCTGCTCCAGACACCCAGGAAAGAAGCTGACTTCAGTCTCTCCCCACCCGCATCCAGTTAGGTACCACTTCCTAGCTCAGTCAGTCCTGATAGAAATCTCAGGAGCAGATTTCCCCCTCTCTTATCACTGCCACCCCAGAGCAATCTGACCACAACCATCCCTGTTTGTCTCGGCTTCACCCAAATCCAATTTCAGTTCTCCTGTGGGTCAACTTCACCAACACAGAATTCCTCACCCCAAATATTGTAATGTTTTCCACATCTGTGCCTTTCAGCAAACTTTCTCCCACCTGCTGGGAAAGTCCTCATATCCTCTCTCAAGCTTATACAAATTTTACAAATGGCCTCAAATCTTGTCTCATGATGAAGATTACTCCAGGTCCCCCAAGACCAAGTAATTGTCACCTCTTCAGCAACTACCCTGTTCTTCCCACAGAATTCTATCCTAGCACTTGTCACCTTAACCTGTAATTATTTAGATGTGTGTTTGAAACCCACCTCCTAATTTTACAATCATCCGTCTGCTGGTTAGTTTCTCTCATCTTACTTGAATAGAAAACATGCATATTGAACTTCCTGATGGTCTAGGGGCTAAGAATTCACCTGCCAATGCAGAAGACACAGGTTGGATCCCCGGTCTGGGAAGACTGCACGTGCCATGGGGCAACTGAATGCACGAGCCATAACTACTGAAGCCCGTGCACCCTGGAGCTTGTACTCCACAACAAGAGAAGCTACTGCAATGGAGCCCGAGCACAGAAACTAGTGGGTATCCCCTGCCTGGTGCAATTAGAAAAATCCCACACAATGCAACGAAGACTCAGAACAGCCAAAATATAAAAAAATAATAAAAACAATTAAAAATTAAAACTATGTATGTTAAGTACATTAGAAATGGAACAGCATTTTCTGTGTTGAACTGAGGACTTCTCAGCAATTTGAAGCAAAAATCCTTCTGTACTATTAGATGACTACTTAAATAGACCTTTAATACATCATACCTCTCAGAGTTTATGGGTGGTCTCTATACTACTTGTAGGCCTGTATTTCCTCTAAACTTGAAAACTAGCTTTTTAAGACATATATTCTTCATAGTCCACAGACTAAGATATCACAGTCCCACAAATCTTTCCTCCCCAGGTAAAACGAACAACTGGAATGTTGTTAAATGCCAAGGGCTGAGGGGAATTTGCAAAACGGTAGTCATGCACACACAGCATTGGTGAGCACAGACACACAGCAATGGAGACACAGACAACAGCTGTGGGGACACATGCACACAGCAATAGCGGACAGACCCACAGTGATGGTGAACACTGACACACGGCAATCTCAAACTGAATGGCTATTCAGGGCCCCTGGAAATATCACAATCACATATTGGCAAATCATTTTATATTGGTGAGTAAACAAAAAGTTCAGAACCAAATAGAAATCTAGAATCATTCAATTTCCTAAGTAAGTTATTGACTAGAGAAAAAAAAAGCACAACCTAAAAGTTGAGAATTATGTCTTATTTGGGGACCTTACTGAGAACTATAGCCTGGGAGACTGCGTCTCAGAGAGCTATGAGGGAGAGAGCTCAAAGAGGTAAGGGAGGAGCCAGGATATATAGAAGTTTTTGCTGAAAAAAAAAAAACATGTAGTCAAACATCAAGATTAGTGCCAATCACAAATAAGCCAACATCACGTTAATGATGATAGTTGCCTTTCTGTGAATGGGCAGATGTAAGAGTCTGGGCTCACTGAAATCATTCCTTTGATGTGCATGTTAAAGCGGTCCTGTCTGGGGCCCTCATCCTGCTTCTCTCCACCCGAGTCCTTTCAGGTACACCATTAAGGGCAGCTGCAGTGGCCAAGAGTTTAATGGCAGGCAACATTCCTTGTTTACTAAAATGGCAGGCAACATTTTTTGTCCAACGTTCAGTGAAGGAAAATATGGGAATTTTTATATTCTTATAAAGACATTTGACTATTCCTTTAGTTGACTAATTGCACAGCTAAACATTAGTTGTTGCAATCAAGGGCGACAAGGAGGGGAAGGGTGGATGATGCATCCGTCAAGAAGAATGTTAAAACCATCATATGCTATTCCTGTTCATGAATAATTACCTGTCAGGACCTCACTCTGGTAGTAGCTAAAGCCCTTAGCAGGTACCTGCAACCATCAATACTTGATACCACTAAAATACCTCTGCCTTATTCACAAGAAAACCCAGATGGTCTTCCACATAAACTGTTACTCTCCTGTATCAGCAGAATGGTGGTGGTGGCACTCCTGGGACCTGGCAGCATGGCGGAATGCAGAGGCTGGACTCCGCTACAGTCAGGACTCACTTCTGCTGAGCTTCGGGGGCCAGCCTGGTCCCGAGGGGGCATGGAGGCCACGCCCTGGGAGTGGAGGGTCAGCGGGTCTCCGGAGGTCGGCCCTGGAGAGCCCTCAGCGGCAGAGAACGTGACCTTGGCGCCCGGCTGCCACCGGAGTTGTCAGACCACGGCCCGAGGCTCCCTCGCGTCCCTGCACACGGGTGTCCCTCCCACCATGGCAGTGCAATCTTTAATTTAATCTGTTACTACTTGTTATATGGACCTGAAGATATTTTATTACAGGGTTTTTCATTAGTGAAAAATTCATGCCTACCATAGAGAAAATATTTTAGAATTTAATGTTTCTTATATTTATGTAAACTTATGACTTCATTTATATGCTTATTCTTGTATATTCAGGCTATAAATATACTTTCAGATCAATTCATATTCTGATACATGATTTTAGTCTTTCAAATGAATGTACTGTACTGCTTGTCTGTATAAAGCCTATGAACAAACATAGGGCTTTTGTAAATGATGCATTTATTGTCATTATCCTTGTTTAATTTTTAAATGATAAACCACGAGAGAAGGGGTTTTCCTGCGATTGTAAAACCATCATGACACGGTGTGCATTATCCTTCCAGAATGTTAACCAAGCTCTCCAACAATCACTCTGAAATGAGCAAACTTAATTTCAACCAATTGTCGCATTTTAACGACTGACTTAAACTGTACTTTTTCCAGCAAGAAATGTTTTTTGTCTGCAGCGTGAAGTGACGTAAAAGTATGGGTGCTGAATGTGAGCTTCTACTGAAATCTGGGCTGAAAGCATGACTAGAAGCCTATGACAATCTCTCCCATAACCTGGTCTCTATGGACCCGGATCCCTCCTCTCCACTGAGACTCTTCGGGGACCAATCACGATGCCCTGCACCCACTGCAGAGCTGATGCACTGGACGGTGAAGGAGCCACATCCCTGACAGACAGACAGCATAGTGCAGCTCTGACGAAGGCCTTATTTTTCTTCTGTAAATCATCTTTTTACATCTGTTTGTAAACTTGTTTAAAGAATGGATCTAGGCATACATTTTTAGATTTTGATGACATAGCCATTCTGGATTGTATAGGTAGCAAATGTAACTTTTACTTGTTCAGCGGCACATTAAAAAAGCCAGCAAGAGATGCGTTCAGATCACGGTGTGTTGTTTATTATGCCGCTGATATCTTGGTAGACAGAGACGGCATGTCTCTTTACATGTGGGTAGCGCCTTTAACTTACCTGTACAGTTCACTGTTACCATTCTGTTTTTCTATTAATCTTTTGTGAACTTCCTGAATATGTGAGAAAGTACGTACAGTTTACTTTTGAACAATTTTTATCACAGTATTATTTATTGCTTTCTTTCAATAAAGTACTGAAGCCAAATGTCCCACTGCCACTTAAGAGTGCCGAGGGTAAGCTGGACTCTCACTGAGAACAGGCCCGAGCTGGTAATGGGAGCCTGTGTCATCACATGGACCCTCTGGTAAGAGAAACGCATGGAGAGAATGGAAAGGCTAGAAGGCGGAACTATAGGTGTCCCCAAAGGATGACCGATGGGGTGTTCATGCCTTTGGATCCAGAGACAAGAGGCTCCATCACTTCAGCATCTTCGGGGACAGGACCCCTCTGCTGCAGAGGCGAGCGCAGTGGGCCGAGGGTGGCAAGAGAGTGCAGGTGTCAAGGCTCACCGAGGGTGCCCGGGCGGGGTGGCCGGGGGAATGCACTAGAGAGTGTGCATGTGCATGCTTGTGTATGGGAGCTGTTTATGTTAATTTAGTCAACAGTCTTTATTATTCATATACCCATAGAAACAAGAATGTAGCAAGGGGAGGTGGCAGGGAGATTCATGAGGGATGGGACATACGTACACCTATGGCTAATTCATGTTGATTTACGACAGAAATCAAACCGATATTGCACAGCAATTATGCTTCAGAAAGAAAGAACATACAAAGGTGGTCAGGAACGTATGAAAAAAAGATTTCTCATAGAGATTTTTTTTTCTCATGGAGATTTACAATCACAACTCTGTGTACATCTGGGTGCAGGCTGCCCACCATCATCAGACCGGCCCACAGCATCAGACATTCCTCCCCAGCATCAGGCCCTCCCCCAGCATCAGACCATACTACAACATCAGACACTCGCCCAGCAACAGGCCCTCCCCTAGCATCAGACCTTAGTCTAGCATCAGACATTCCCCCAGCCTCAGACCCTAGTCCAGCATCAGAAGACCCCCCCCCAGCATAAGGCCCTAGTCCAGCATCAGACACTCGGCCAGCAACAGGCTCTTCCCCGAGCTTCTGATCCTAGACTAGCACAAGACGCATCAGACGTACCCCCTCAACATCCGGCCCTAGTCCAGCATCAGACCCACCCCCAGTGTCAGGCCCTCCCCCAGCATCAGGCATGGCAGCCCCACTTGTCTGATGCTCCTGAACACACTCAGGCAGCCCCTGAGCAGCATGACAACAGCTCGTGCAGGAGGTGCATCTGTAGGAATCACCTGCAGAGCAGCAGCAGCTGGGGTCTGTTTCAGGTCAAGGAGAGGTGGAGGGGCACTTGTGGAGGAGGCAGCCATGCTGTGGGCACGCTCCCCAGCTGTGCTTCCTCCCCATGGGGGCTCTGCTCTCCTGCTCTCTCACAGGCCCCAGGGCAGTGTCCTTCCAGATTCATGGTCGCCTTGATATCTCAAGCCCAAGTTCTGAGTTGCCTCCCAGTGCGGCGAGGCAGAGGGCTGGGAGCACCCACGCTGAGGGGCTGAAAGGATCCCAGGGGGACAGCCGGGCCCCAGTGGGTGGCGGGGCAGGGGACGAGGGTCGCCGCCCACAGAGGGCCCCGCAGCAGCACTGCAAGGACAGCAGCGATGCCTCAGCTCACTCGGGGATGCTGCCGGCCTAGCACTCAGAGATGTTACCGCCGGCAGCAGCTCTGGGGACGCAGGAAGCCCGGTGAGCGACACCACGCTACTCAGGCCGTGTGCATGGGCACTGCTGACCATGGCCTCGGTTTTCATTCTGGTTCCAACTGTCCCTCCAAGGGCTGACGGGCTCCTCTTCTGAACGGCACACTTGTTTTATGTGGGTGAAGGTGTCCCTGCTTGTTTCTGTCCGCACTGTCGCCACTCGTCGTGTGGTTTCCTCCTTACAACCTGTGCTTGCGGCTCTTCCAGTTTAACTTAGGAGCAGCCCTTCTTTTCTGCATTTCCTAGTTGTCAGCGTTCACGGGGCCTTTCCAGGTGGCGCGAGCTGTAGAGATCTTGCCTGCCAATGTGAGAGATAACGAGATGTGGGTTTGATCCCTGGGTCGAGAAGATGCCCTGGAGGAGGGCATGGCAGCCCACTCCAGTATTCTTGCCTGGAGAATCCCATGGACAGAGGAGCTAGCGGCCTACACTCCCTGGGGTCGCAATGAGTCAGACACGACCGAAGCAGTTTAGCACACACTCAGGCTTTAGTTCAGTCGCTCAGTTGTGTCCAACTCTTTGCCACTCTGTGGACTGCAGCACTCCAGGCTTTCCTGTCCTTCAGTATCTCCTGGAGTTTGCTCAAACTCAAGGCCATTGAGTCAGTGATGCCATAGAACCATCTCATTCCTGTTGCATCCACCAGAGCGGTGGCTGGGGCTCGGCAAAGTGCATGGTCCCACTGCGTGGGTGTGCACCTGCCCTCACCACTCCCTGACCGCGTGACCATCACTGTGTCCTCCTCTGTAAATCGGGAGGTGGCAGCCCCTGCTTGGGAAGGGGCACACCCAGCATCTGGTATATAATCAATGCACCATCCATCTCAGCGTTGTCTTTACTAATAATAGGGACAGCATTTAATAAGCTGCTCCTTTTTCTCTCGTGTGTCTTAACTGTGGTCCAGACCACATCTGTTTTACTTACCCCTGGGTGTATATCCCACACCCAGCACAAACAAGATACTGTACAAATATCTGGCTGAAGAGGCAGGAACATACCCTGTCCTCAAGGAGGTGAAGCCGAGAGAGATGGGGGCCTGATGCTCATGCTGGGTGATGAGGAGACCCCAGGAGGACCTGTGTGACTGTGGGGGTCGTGGGCAGAACCCCTGAGGAGCTCCTGGGGACGAGGAAGGTGGCAGGAAGGAGGAGGAGGGCTGCTCCTCGTGGGATGTGCACAGATTGGACCTCACCCCTCACTGATGAGCACTTAGGCCGTTTCCAAACACTTGTCAGTGTTCTGGAGGAGTCAATCATTGCCCAGCTCCTACTCAATCAACTTCATAGAATATGTTTCTAGCGTTGGAGTATAAACATCTGCTTTATTCATTCCATGCTTCGTTCATCCACCCATCGAGCCAGCCATCTCTTCAACCATCCATACACTCACTAGTCCATATTCCACCCACTCACGAATTCCGTCGACCCATCAAGCCAGTCATCTGTTCATCCATCCATCCACTCACTAATCCATCCATCCATCCACTCACTAATCCATCCATCCATCCCTCTAGACATAATTCATCCACACATCCACTCATTAACTCATCAGATCATCTTGGACCCACCAAGAAGACGGATGCCTCCTCCACTCTTGCTCCCAGGAGGACCCCGAGTGTGAGTGACAGGAGCCTCGTGGGGCAGAGGGGGAGACACAGAAGGGACAAGCCTGCAGGTTCTCTTCCCTCTCAACGGGGAAGCACCCACCTGGTCCTAAGGCCTCCTTGCCGGGTGTCCAGGCTGGCCCTTTTCCTTCTTTCCAAACAAGCGGCCGATGCACGACTTGATGCCCTTCTTCGGGGCTTTGTGCAGCGAGTCCTGGCTGATGGTGCTGCTGCTGGGGTTGCCCCCGGGGCCGTCCTGAGAGCCGGTCGAGATTCGGGGAGCGAGAAGGACCTTTAACCAGCGGCCTCGTGCAAACACATACCCCTCCTCAAGATCTACTGTTAGAACCGGCCACCCAGCAACACCCGCGCCTCAACCTCGAGCACACAGTGGAGGCTGCTTCACCAACCACACTCCACACAAGCAATGCAGGCTCCCGGCCACAGACATCCGCCCCGGGAAGCTGAGAGTCTCCGACTGGAGCCCCACCCCGGGGAGGGCTTGACTCCAGGCCAGCTGGTGCAGAGGGCGCTCCGACCCTCCCTCAGGTTCGCCGCTTGGCAGGTGACAAAGCTCCTAGAGAAGGCAAGCTCCCCCGCTCCGGGCAGCTCCCCCCCGCCTCTGCAGGGTGGCCGTCCCCGGCCGTGGCAGGAGAGCTGCTGGACAGGAGACCACACGTGCCCTCCATCGAGTGCTGCCTGGCTGAGGACGGGAGCTCAGCAGGCGGTGGTCTGAATGAGGACAGTGTCAGTCACAGGAGGGGATGGAGTCTCCTGAGAGGAGACCCTTGAGGAAAAGGGAGGGACCCTCAAGAGGGAACACGAGAGGCACGGGGCCATCACCCTCGGGAACGCGCCCTGGGCGGGGCAGACCTCTAGCAAGAGCAGGAAGAAAGCTCCCACAGCGGGGTCAATCCGTAGAGATGGACGTTTTCTAAAATCAGTGAGGCCACTGAGCTCTTCTCCCCCAGCACCTGAAGTTCACCACTAAACACAGGCACCGAACCCAGTGGGATTCCTTTAAAATCATCCTTCTAACTCTTTCAAGAGAACAGGTGCAGGGCTCCTGAAACTGACGACGAGGCGCGCAGACCCCTTACTTGCAGGTGTCCCTGACGTCCTCTGGGCTGGCTGCGCGCAGCACCCCCGTGTGCAGCCGGTCCAGCCAAAGGGACTGCGGCGAGGCAGGGCTCGAGGCTTCACATTGGATGGCAGTCTTGTCATCTTCTACCTCTTCCATTAAAGCTGGCAGCTGAGTGAGACAGGTGTAAAATGGCAGTGTAAAACTGGCTAATGATAGACTGTGTTGAAAAAGGCAACCTCACAGGCTTTACATTATCACCAGAAACTTATTTGTAAATCTATTTGCTATGCTTTCCTCCAAGTAGCAAAAAACAAAAACAAAAACAAAAAACCCTTGTTCCAGCTTAGTGCCATCTTACAGGACTGTCTTGTTCAAGAGAAGCGGGGCATGGGGCAGCGAGAGCACCTGACTGAGTGCAGACACCCTGGACGGGAGCCTCCCTGAAGCCGGGCTCCGCCCTCCCTGGAATCCAGCGACCAGATGGCCCCGCCGGGCAGGAGAGCAGAGTGACGCCAGCACCGTGAACCCTGCATGGCATGAACTGCCCTGAAGAAAGGACTCTGCTCATCGCCAGATGCTGCTTCCACTAGCAAGAGGAAGAAACCTCTCAGCAAAGCCGTCCAGACCTCTCTGTTTGAAGAAAAAAAGGACACAGCTTGTGCCACCACCCAAGATCATTTGTTGTCATGATGCAGCCTACTGGAACCCAGGACAACAAGGGAAAGACAGAAAAGGTACCTAACCCGGCATGCGAACACCACGTGACTGGCTCATATTTCTCAGTAACGGACAGACTGGGGGCTACACGCTGAAGTGCTCCCTCGCAGTCCGAGTGTACTTTGCTCACTGTGGTTTACATAAAGCACCCCTAGGTCTTCACTAAGAGATGACCTTGTATGAGACTAGAGGGGTGGGATGGGGAGGGAGATTCAAAAGGGAAGGGGTATATGTATACCTACGGCTGAGTCATGCTGAGGTTTGCCAGAAAAGAACACAATTCTGTAAAGCAATTATCCTTCAATTAAAACATAAACCAATTGAAAAAAAAAAAAAAACATGTTTCTCCTGGAGTCCCAGCTTTTCCGCTGGTCCTGGGTGTGAGGACAGGAGAGACAGTGGTGGTAACAGTGTGGGGAACAGATTAACCCCTTCAGGGTCCAGACAGGTCTCACTAGTACATTTGGGTGTGTGGTTAAGCCTGGGGAAGTTTCAGGAAACATGCATGGCAAGTATTTTTGTAAACAATGAGTGTGTTGTTTTAACCAACTAACCTGTGCCTTTTTAGTGGGATTCTCTAAAGAATACTGATCCACTGCAGCCCCACAGGAGCTTGGTGACAACAAAGTGACTTAGTGCAAAATACAGCTGAGCCCGTTTAACAGCAGCTGGATAAACTATGCACCCTCCCCTGATCTCCAACAAGAACCCTCAGACAACAGAAGGCTACAGAGGCTGGAAATGATCCCCACGGAACTGAACAGGGATCAGTCTCAAATTCAAGTTACAATAAGCCTTTATAAAAATCAGAAAACAACAAAAACAGAGTGGGAAATGACACGCCTGGGCTGACCGTGGACTCAGGGGAGACAAACACCTGCCTCAAAGTCAGGGACCGCAGCCAGCCCCTTCCTTCCCCGGGCCTCCTCCTGAGGAAGGCCTCTGGGTCCCCAGCCTGGCCGCCCGCCCCCAGGAGGGAAGCCCGCCACCCTGGTGCCCATGTGACTAGGATGGGCAGGACCGTGTCCTCACATAACAGGAGGGCACAGCAGGCCACAGAGCTGGTGAGCAGCACACCCAGGTCACCAGCCCCAGGGCACAGTGCTGCTCCGCAGTGCCCAGCAGAAGGGCTCCCGGGCACTGAGCTGCCTGAACTGGAGCGCGGCTGCCCGAGTCCTGCGGGAAGGTCCCAGGAGTGGTCGGTCAGTGGGCTGGGAGTGGGAGAGGGACAAGGACGGCCAGCCTTCGGGGCACTGGACTCAACAACAGGGGCTCATCCAAGGGACCCGAGGGGAGAGGCAGCGAGCTCCCTCCTGATGCTCCCTCCATCAGGGATGCCGTGAGGGACACGAGGGCCTCTGGAGGAAAGCGGGCTGGACGGCAGCAGGGTTAAGTGTCCAGGCTCTCATCAGACCAGTCCGCACCACACTGCTGGCTGTGCGAGCCTGGGCACAGGGCCCGGCCTCTCTAAGCCTCAGTGTCCACATCTGCTGAATGGGGATGACAGCAGCCGGGACCTCACCTGGGTGTCTGCCAGATGAGATGACAGGCTCGGAAAGCACTCGACAAGCTGCCTGGTGCACAGAGGCTCCTGCACACTGCTACCCCCGTCATTAGACTGGCATCCCGCAAAGCTACCGCCTATGGCTCGGATTCAGCCGTTTCTTTGAATGGAAATTTCCACACTGAGTGGAAATTCCACTGTGGTCCAGACGTTAGGACTTGGCACTCTCACTGCCGGGACACCAGTCTGGTCCCTGGTTGGGGAATTAAGATCCCATAAGCTGTGCAGCATGGCAAAAAAATAACTAAAGAAAATTTTAAAAATAATCCTTTGTCTATTATAAATAAGCATGAGTTGATTAGAAGGTAAACAAGTGGGAGAAAGGCAAACTGTTACAAGTGTCCCCGAATGACCTATTACCAAGAGAACCATCAGCATATTTCAACTGGTGGATGAGTTTCAAAACTTCCATTAGTGTCAATTATTCACCAGTACATAACCACATAGTGTTCATTCATGTAACATGATAAGGACTCTTTAATACTTCACAGAGAAACAAAGGCATGCTATATTATTAAATAGTTAACCTTTCGACGATGCTTCCTTAAATCACTAGGCTGAAAGGTGCATGCAAAGAAATGAACAGAAACCAGATGGATTGCAACTTTGATACTAAAAGTGCAAGAATTGTTACAGGCAAATACACTAAAGCAAACATGAAGGCAAACATATGTGAGATGAAGACTTAAGAGAACATGTAACTGGAAACAGAACATATTTTTTAACCACAGAAGTGAAATAAGCTATTCAAGGTTTACTAGAGAAACACTATAAATTATAACTCAGGAAGATACCATTCTATTACAATATCATGATTTATTAAAGCAGAGCATTCTGTTCAACAAAGGGTCTTAAGAGTTGTCTGTTCTCAGCCACAATTCGCTATAACTTAGTTTCTCTTAATAGAAAACACATTATACTTTAAAGGAGTAATTTCACTGATTAGGAAGTTACCATAATACCTATTTTAAACCTGAACAAATCTAACCAACTATTGGACATTAATGTAAAATCCTTACCTAGAATTTGATATAAAACTTTTCAGAATAAATCCATTAAAGCAGGTATCCCACGAAAATTTGTAAGGAAAGCTAGCATAATAGCAAGTGGAATCTTCACATCTTATGAACCATAAATGATACTTTGTAAAAGAGTCTAGTAGAGACATTAAACATGCAAAAGCTGATGAGATTTACCGTCTAAACTCCAAGCATCAACACAGAAAGGATATTGGGTCAAAAGACCATTAATTATACATTTAGAGGATCATTTCTCCATGTAAGCATAATCTCACTTATGATTACACAGGTTATGTAGTGGATGATCCACCTACACAATGCTTCTAACTGTACAGTGATACACTCACTCTAACTTACTGCTATGCAGGAAAAACACCATCTAATGAGACACGAAGACAAACCACAAACCAGACTAACAGGACACAGCACTGATATGACCAAAGCAAGTGGGAGGATGGGGGAGGGGAAACGGATGTGTGAACTACAGCCTCCGTTGGGAGGGATGGGAGGCTGGGGTCTGGATTGATGACGGCTAAACAGACAACAGGATGAGTCAGGAAATCAAAACCAATGATGAAAGCAGACACACCGTCAGAAAACTCCACAAGGAAAAAATATTCAGGACTGCTCTTTCACAAATACTCGGAAAGAAATCAAGCATGAAACCACAGAGAAATCGTCCAAGAATTTTAAATATCAACGACTTAGACAATGATACAAAGTATAAAAGCAGCGTGTCAAAAGACCACAAAATGGACCAGGTACCACTTCACATGCAGCTAAAATGACCCACATTTATTTTAATTCTATGCTAACAACACAGCTAACATGAAATGGGTGGTAACAGAAAAAAGGGATAATACAAGTGCAGTTTCAAGGCAGAGTGTTGTACACATGATTCAAGGGGTAAACAGCAATGCACTCAGAAACCTAGGCTACACACGCAAGAAAGCTGGCACATGTGCTTTAGAGCTGCACACTCTGTCACCAGAAGCCCTAGGTCGTCATCCCGTGTTGAGACGCGGAAGAGTGAGGCAGCCCGACTTCTTCCCTGGGGCCCTGGGGCCCCGGGGCCTTTAAATGGTTTCACGTGCACAGCTGGCCTGAGCACATGGCAAGGCCCGTCAGCAAGCGGACCAGTTCAGATTCTTGGTTTTGTTGCCACCGCATGCCCTGAACCCTGCAGCCAGGCGACCCCGGTGGAACATGTGCTGCCCGCCTTTCACTCGCCATGAGGGCTGCCTGTGGTAACTTTCACGAGGCTGTCTGCTCCCTGACGACAGAAACTTCCCTGCCGCTGTTGTGCCAAGCACAGGCCGGGCCCACCGTTCCAGAGGCAGGCTCTGGCTGAGTTCACGATGGCTTGCTAAGCCGCTGGTCCAAATATCAAGACTGATTGGTCCCTGTGCCATTATGGAATGATTAAAGACCAGGCAGTTTCACAAGTCTTAGACTTCTGAGCGTAGCAAATGTACCTGATTTTCTCTGGGGAAAAAGAGAAAAAACAGAGAAAGAAAAACAGTGTGCTTGGGGAGGCATGTGGCAGGGAAGAGGCAGGCATATACCGGAGTCATGACGTCCAGCTGGTCTCCCTCGCACGCCAGGCTGTGCCACCTCCTTCGGGGACGGGAGCGCTCCCTGCTGGGCGGGCAGGAGCCAGCAAGTGAGGAGGCAAGACACAGGTTGAGGGAGCTCAGTGACTTAAAACGCTGGGAGTTTCTGGTTGGAGGCCATTTGCTGGCTCCTGTTTTGGGTCGTCTGTTCTCCCAGAGGCTCCTGGAGCCGGCCACCTGGACTGCGCCGCACGTGGGCTTAGAAGGCCAAACGCCCCTGGCCCTGGGACAGCCTCTTCAATCGAGGGGAAGCCGGCCTGGTGCGAAGATCATGTCCTCTTAATTTGGCCATGCACGACCCTGGTTTGGTCTTTCTTCTTTTTTCGGGAGAAGGGCTTTCCTTTGTGGAGACATGGAACTGCCCCCACAGCCCCTCCTCCAAACCTCCCCTCCTTCGTCCCCCACCCCCAGCCCTGTTGGTAGTGTTGGTTAATGAGCTGGTTTGACTCACTAAGTCCTTTCATTTTGGGTCCCGGCTCCCAAGGGGTGGGTGATGCCAGGGACAACTCCTTTCTTGGGTGAATTTTTCATTTGAATCATGCAGCTTAGTCATCCCGTGGCGAAGGCCAGGGCAGCTGCAGGTGCCCACTGTCAACAGCCTGCCTCCCGGGCAAGGTGGGGCTGCCATGCCTGGGACTGAGCTGGTGCCCACCTAAGGGCTCAGGCTCCTGCCAATGCCCATGGCATTTGCCCTGCAGAGCTGCAGGGGTTGGGGCGGGGGTGATGTCAGGGATCAGGGTGATGTGGTAATGATGCACCCCTCCCCTCACCCCGTTGATTTAAAGCTGTTTCCAAACAGTTGAGTCTCTCCTGAAGACGAAGCCTTGTCCCGAAAGGCCCACTGAGACAGCTGGATCTTGGAGACAATTACGAGCTGGGAGCCCAACTCCTGACTGCCTGCTGATTCTGCCACTGATCATTTGCAGCTGCTTGTTTCGGTCTCCACCTTCAACCCCAGTGGCTGAAAAAGCCCATGATGTGTCGCTTAATTTTCTTTCTGATTCTCCCAGATCGGTGGCTGGGGACTTGGGAGAGGACCCAGAGAAGGGAGCTAGCCACCTGCAATCCCTCTGGCTTTGGGGAACAAAGACTGATGTGAAGGCCCACAGAGAATTCTCTCTTCCAGTCTCAACCCCTTCAAGGGTGGCTGGAAGGGGAGGCAGGGGGCCGTTTTACATAGGATTAGCTTCCAGGTGGCTGCCATTTCAGCACAAGCAGTACTGAAATTCACATAAAAAAGAGAGAGCTGTGAAACTGAGGTCCGGATTTAATAGGCCCTGCAGCGAGCCTGCGGGCCCGTGGTGCTTGCGAGAACGAGGGCCTGCCCCAAGCTGGGAGCATGGGCCTCAGCTGCGCCCCGAGGCTCATGCTGAGCTGCTCCCAGCACCGCAGGCCAGATTTACCTGCCGCAGGGCTGGAAGGAACCTGGCGGGGACCTCGCGTGCAGCGCCTCTTCTCCACGGGAGTTGTCACACAGCCTGTCTCTGCAGATCCTGCTGCCGTGTGGGACCCAAGGTAGGCGGCCGGTGGGGGCGTCGGGGCCCCGGCAGCATGGGAGGGTTGGGGGGGGTGCTGTTGGGGGGCCGAGTGTCAAGAGCCGGGACCCAGGGGTCTGGAGTTGCTCCTTCGTGGGCCTTGCCGGGCCTGACACTGAGGGAAGGCGCACTCGCGGGATTGCAGTTTTGTGTGTTTCCTTCTCTCTCTCCATATTTATTTTTTTAATTTATGGAGGCGGTGCAAATTTCAGGAATGGTTGGGGACTAAAGAAAGAACTCTCTAGCTCCATCCATGTGAAGCCTGGCGAGGTCTGCTCCTCTGCACTGGTCATCAGCATTGTGTAAAGAGACTGATACACTTGAGTGTGCAAGCAATGAAGCCGTTCGACATGCTGCTACGAAGACTAATTTGAGCACAATTTTAAAAAAAGGGAAAAAAACTAACCTACAAAAAAAAACCCCACCCTTTATTCTTTAATTGTTGCTTTTACAGTGATATTGTGCATGCAAACTAGGAGCATTTTGTGTCTTAAGAAAAATAATCTGAGAACAGATGGCTGTGAAAATTACACCCGTGCACAGAACAAGTCACAGGAATAATAGTTCAGAATTTGGTTTTTCTCTTTTTTCTTGTAAAACCTGAAGGGTTGATATATTCTTTCCATACAGTTATTAGAACTTAGTTTTGTTCTAGCAGTTGTGAAACTTGCAATGAAAAGGAAATGTGCCATTTTTTTTGCCCACTTGGAACTATTCTTAGCTGTATATTTGAAACTGCTAATAACACACGAGCGACTTATGCTGGTTTTTTAGTGCAATTTCTTCTGTAGCTATTCTTTGACCAAACTGTGGGTATTGTTAATATTAATTTATATTTGTCTCATTTTTGTATGTATGCATAGCGTGGTTGTAAGTATGTGTGGTTTATAATCTAAAAAGGTCATAAAGCTCAGTTTGGCTGTAATTTAATTCCCTTCTCTTTATTTTTATTTATTTTTGTACTGTGCTGATTAAATAAAATGCACTGACCAAAAAAAAACAAACAAACAGACAAAAAAAAACGCCAAAGGCTGCAGAAGCGTGCTCCGCCCACCCTGCTCTCAGTCTCCTCGGCCCGCTGCTCCATGCTCTCCCTTTCCTCCTGGAGCCACCTAAAAGAGACCAAAACTCGTGAGCTGCCTTTGTCAGCACAGCATCGTGTCTGGACAACAAATTTGGGCTGGCATTCTGTGTCACAATGAGCAAATTCCAGGAATATCTGCTCATTTCACATCTCGGCTAAAAGGTTCGACTTTCCCTCTTTTGAATATTCTCAAACTTGGAATAACTTGGCACTGAGTCTTACAAACTGGCCCCTGGTCATTCACGTTTGATTTGACTCGTTTACGCTAACATTCTGACGGGGCCTGTGTGGCGACTCTCTCCCTGTGAGGAGATACCTGAAGCTGACAACCTTAACCTTCCCTGCTCTCAGGGCAGAGGTGCACGTCAGTGCCTCAAGTCTTCTCCACTGGGAATCGGGAACTCTCTATAACCAACACAGCGATTCACAAACAAGCTGGAGTTTCTAAACAAAACTCCCCAGACCAGATGAAGTGCTGAGGGGATTTTTACTTTTTTAAGGATGTATGTGTAACAACGCATCACTTGATGAAATTCTCCACCAGCTGTGTGTGAGTTTCTGGATTCATGTCAATCTGCCGCATTAACCTAGAATTCACGCTTACTGTTCTTCTCCCCTAATGTGTAGTGGATGATTTTATATAGCAGTTGAAATACACAATGATGCCTATAAAATGAATTCCAAATTAAAACACGGGATTCCTGCAGGTCATAACATCTTCAGCTTCATTCTACGTAAAAGTCTTGAAAGTTTTTCACTTGTGATAGCAAGCTGATGGACACAATTTACTATTCATAAAAGAAGTCAACTTACTGCCTAAGGAAAATTCACTTTACCTGAAAACTTGCTGTAATAAAAAAATATTAATATGCAACCGTTCCATATTACCTGCGGGGACAGGGAAAGCCCATCTTTCTGAGCTAATCTGAGCTGAAACAAGGCCAAGGAGGCAGTCTGTCTCGGCATCAAAAGTGCAGGTGGCACCACCTGCATTTGCTGGCTGTGCCATTCTCGGCTACCCTCCCCCCGAGCCCCACGTGCTCGGCACTGAGGACCGGGCATCTCGGCCTGGGCTGACGTGAAGACAACAATCTGAGCAGCGCCTCTGCCTGGTCCTGCACATGGTCACCGGCCTGTGACCGCTCTGGACGTGGAACCGGGACAGGGGCTCAGCTGTGCGGGTGTGGCCCAGGCAGGCCTCGGGGACCCCGGACACCCAGCTACACCCAGACCCAAGACCTGCTGCTCATCACCAGGCGGACCTTTGCCTTCTATCTCGAGCTGTAAACTGTTACAACTGAGAAGACAGTGTCTAAAGAAAATACCTTAAATAACCTGATGAGATGAAAAAAGCTCAAACACATGTTTTGGGCCACTGTCTTACAACAAGCCAATCTTCACACTGTATTAACTTGAAAAGGACAATGCAGATCTGAATGGGAATTTGCCAACCCCCAAACCCCTGCTTTTCTGTTCCAGGTAGCTTTTCACCAGAACGTGGGAGTCTCCGATGGACACGGGAGGGTGAACTCTCAGTGCTGGAGGGCACACGGGACGCAGAGGACACTGCGTCGGCACCTCACCCACCTTGGGGCTCAGAGCTGGGGGGGGGACACCCCACAAAGCCCCCCCCCCCACAGAGTGCTGACACCAGCTGTGGACAGAACGGCCTGCCTGTCTGAGCTCTCTCATCAAGGGTGGTCTGAGAACTGAAAATCCTTGAAGCAGGCCTGAAGTCAGTTTTCTCACTATGGAACACTCAAGACTTCTCGTAGGAGAAGACAGCTCCTCAGAGAAGCCCAGTTTCTGGGGAGCCGAGTTCGGGCACACCCACCGGGTCTCCTCACTGATGGTGTCCAGCTGCTCCCGAGGCATCACAGGCAGAGTGTCGGCATCGGCCTGCCCACTGGGCGGCAGCTGACCGGCCGAGCTGAAGAGGGTGACCCTGTCGCCCTCGCCGTCAGACACATCCTCGTCACTCTCGAAATCCTGGGCCATGGTGGCCACCACGCGGGTCTGCTGCGCGGACTCCCAGTCCTGCTCCCTCTGGCTCTGCACCTGGGCATGAGAGGACCACGGCTGGTCAGCGACATTCAGGACAGCTCACGTCTATCAGGAACCGAACACAATTTTACATGGAAGCCCGACTTTGGATAAACGGCCATGCCTATGAGACACTGCCATCTCTTAAGCGAGCAGTACTGAAGAAATGGGCTGGAGGAGAATCTAGTTCCTAGATGGCCTGCTGACACTCAGGTCAGCGTGGACGGAAGGCAATCCTATCAGGTTATTCACAAGAGTGCGCTGACGGAGTCAGGGACAAAAACGCAAAATTGCAAACATACATCCATGCCTCCATCAGGCAGGCTGAAGGAAAATAAGAAGGAAAAAATCCTTCCGCTCCGCAGCCGCTGGGTCCGCCTCAGCGGTCGTCACTTGTACTAGTTCCCCGAGGAGTGCCGTCCTCCCAGGTTCCCAGCCCTACGTGTTCCAGGCTGGCCCGAACATGCAGAGAGAGGAGCGAGCAGGGGCAGCCAGGGAACTGGAGGGGAGCCCTCCGCGGCTGTCCTCTCGGGGCACAGGCACTCGGGCTCTGCTGGGGGATAGCCCCTCGCACCGCAAGGGCGGTTCTGCCATCAGAGACGCACGGGAGAGTGCCTGCTGGGCCCTGTGCCGCCCTCCTGCTCTCACACCTCACAACCTTCTCTCTGCAAATCTCCCCCCTGTCCGACTCTCAACCCAGGTCCTGCCTTCTTTCCCACACATGACCTCAAAGCAACTGAGGGGCAGCCTCGAGGTGCTGGCTGCCGGCTACCTGGCCCCCGTGGCCGGAGCCCTCGCCCCCTGACTTCCTCACAACCCCTCCCCAGGGCTGGGCTACCCCCTTCGCTGGCAGCAAGACCACCTGCCACCATCCCTGCTCCCCTCCAGCGCACCAGCTGCCTATGGGTTCACCCCTAGCAGCCCGGTCAGCACATCCTCTCGCTTCTCTCGCCTTCAAATGGCACAACGGGAACCAGCAGACTCCTCCTCCAGGGCACTCTGCAGTGCCCACTGGGGGTCTCTGAAGGCTGCCTGGGAGAGGCATCTGCTGTCCATACAGCGTATGATCCATCTACATTATGCTTTTAACTGTATAGTGGTGCACTAACTCTAACTTACTGCTATGCAGGAAAAACACCATTCAATGAGACACGAAGACAAACCACAAACCAGACTAACGGGACACAGCACTGATATGACCAGAGCGAGTGGGAGGATGGGGAGGGGAGATGGATGTGTGAACTACAGCCTCCGGTGGGGGGGATGGGAGGCTGGGGTCTGGATTGATGACGGCTAGACAGACAACACGATGAGTCAGGAAATCAAAACCAATGATGAAAGCAGGCACACCGTCAGAAAACTCCACAAGGAAAAATTATTCAGGACTGTTCTTTCACAAACACTCCGAAAGAAATCAAGCATGAAGCCACAGAGAAATGGCCAAGAATTTTAAATATCAACGACTTAGACAATGATACAAATTATAAAAGCAGTGTGTCAAAAGACCACAAAATGGACCAGGTACCACTTCACATGCAGCTAAAATGACCCACATTTATTTTAATTCTATGCTAACAACGCAGCTAACATGAAATGGGTGGGAACAGAAGAAAGGGATAATACAGGTGCAGTTTCAAGGCAGAGTGTTGTACACGAGATTCATGGGGTAAACAGCAATGCACTCAGAAAACTAGGCTACACAGGCAAGAAAGCTGGCACATGTGCTTTAGAGCCGCACACTCTGTCACCAGAAGCCCTAGGTCGTCATCCCGTGTTGAGACGTGGAAGAGTGAGGCAGCCCGACTTCTTCCCTGGGGCCCTGGGGCCCCGGGCCTTTAACTGCTTTCACGCGCACAGCTGGCCTGAGCGCGTGCAGCAAGGCCTATCAGCAAGCGGACCAGTTCAGATTCTTGGTTTTGTTGCCACCGCATGCCCTGCACCCTGCAGCCAGGCGACCCCGGTGGAACATGTGCTGCCCGCCTTTCACTCGCCATGAGGGCTGCCTGTGGTAACTTTCACGAGGCTGTCTGCTCCCTGACGACAGAAACTTCCCTGCCGCTGTCGTGCCCAGCACAGGCCAGGCCCACCGTTCCAGAGGCAGGCTCTGGCTGAGTTCATGATGGCCCGCTAAGCCGGTGGTCCAAATATCAACACTAATTGGTCCCTGTGCCATTATGGAATGATTAAAGACCAGGCAGGTTTAAAACTCTTAGCCCTCTGAGCATAGTAAATGTACCTGATTTTCCTCTGGGGATAAAGAGAAAAAACAAAGAAAGAAAAACAGTGTGCTCGGGGAGGGATGTGGCAGGGAGGAGGCAGACACATACCGCAGTCATGACGCCCAGCCGGTCTCCCTCGTGCGCCAGGCTGTGCCGCCTCTTTCGGGGTGGGGAGGGCGCCCTGCTGGGCGGGCAGGAGCTGGCAAGTGAGGAGGCAGGACACAGGTTGAGGGAGCTCAGGGACTCAAAACGCCGAAGGCTGCCTAAGCGCGCCCTGCCCGCCCTGCTCTCAGTCTCCTCGGCCCGCTGCTCCGTGCTCTCTTCCTCTTGGATCCACCTAAAGGAGAGCAAAACTCGTCAGCTGCCTCTGTCAGCACAGGAACCTGTCTGGACAGCAAATTTGGGCTGGCATTCGGTGTCACGATGAGCCAATTCCGGGAACATCTGCTCATTTCACATCTCGGATAAAAGGTTCGACTTTCCCTCTTTTGAATATTCTCAAACTTGGAATAACTGAGCACTGAGTCTTACAAACTGGCCCCTGGTCATTCACGTTTGATTTGACTCCTTTACGCTAACATTCTGATGGGGCCCGAGTGGCGACTCTCTCCCTGTGAGGAGATACCTGAAGTTGACAACCTTCACCTTCCCTGCTCTCAGGGCAGAGGTGCACGTCAGGGCCTCAAGTCTTTGCCACTGCAAATCGGGAACTCTCTATAACCAAAACAGCGATTCATGAACAAGCTGGAGTTTCTAAACAAAAGTCCCCAGACCAGATGAAGTGCTGAGGGGATTTTTCTTTTCTTACGGTTGCATATGTACAAACGCATCACTTGATGAAGTTCTCCACCAGCTTTGTGCGAGTCTCTGGATTCATGTCAATGTGCCGCACTGACATAGATTCACCCTTACTGCTCTTCTGCCCTAATGTGTAGTGGAGGATTTTAAATAGCAGTTGAAATACTCGATGATGCATATAAAATGACTTCCAAAATAAAATACAGGATTCTTGCAGGTCATAACCTCTCCAGCTTCACTTCTACCTATAAGTCCTGAAAGTTTTTCACTGGTGATAGCAAGCTGATGGACAGGATTTGCCATTTATAACAAGTCGACTTACTGCCTAAGGAAAATTCACTTTACCTGACAACTTGCTGTTAAAATAAAAATACTAACATGGAATCGTTCCATCGTTCCTGCGGGGATGGGGAAAGCCCATCTTTCTGAGCTCGTCTGAGCTGAAACAGGGCCCAGGAAGCAGTCTGTCTCGGCGTCAAAAGTGCAGGCGGCACCACCTGCGTTTGCTGGGTGTGCCGTTCACCCCTGACTTTCCCCCGAGCCCCGCGTGCTCGGCCCGCAGGCACGGGCACCTCGGCCTGGGCTGACGTGACGAGAACAATCTGAGCAGCAGCTCTGCCTGGTCCTGCACAGGGTCACCGGCCTGCGGCCACTCTGGACGTGGACCCGGGACAGGGGCGTAGCTGTGCGGGTGTGGCCCAGGCAGGCCTCGGGGCCCCCGGACACCCGGCTGCACCCAGACCCAAGGCCCGCTGCTCACCATGAGGCGGGCCTTTGCCTTCTATCCCGTGTTGTAAACTGTTACAACTGCCAAGACGGTGTCTAAAGAAAACATCTGAAATATCCTGATGAGATGAGAGAAACTCAAACATATGTCCTTGGACCACTGTCTTACAACAAGCCAATCTTCACACTGTATTAACTTGAAAAGGACAATGCAGATCTGAATGGGAATTTGCCAACCCCCAAACCCCTGCTTTTCTGTTCCAGGTAGCTTTTCACCAGAACGTGGGAGTCTCCGATGGACACGGGAGGGTGAACTCTCAGTGCTGGAGGGCACACGGGACGCAGAGGACACTGCGTCGGCACCTCACCCACCTTGGGGCTCAGAGCTGGGGGGGGACACCCCACAAAGCCCCCCCACAGAGTGCTGACACCAGCTGTGGACAGAACGGCCTGCCTGTCTGAGCTCTCTCATCAAGGGTGGTCTGAGAACTGAAAATCCTTGAAGCAGGCCTGAAGTCAGTTTTCTCACTATGGAAGACTCAAGACTTCTCGTAGGAGAAGACAGCTCCTCAGAGAAGCCCAGTTTCTGGGGAGCCGAGTTCGGGCACACCCACCGGGTCTCCTCACTGATGGTGTCCAGCTGCTCCCGAGGCATCACAGGCAGAGTGTCGGCATCGGCCTGCCCACTGGGCGGCAGCTGACCGGCCGAGCTGAAGAGGGTGACCCTGTCGCCCTCGCCGTCAGACACATCCTCGTCACTCTCGAAGTCCTGGGCCATGGTGGCCACCACGCGGGTCTGCTGCGCGGACTCCCAGTCCTGCTCCCTCTGGCTCTGCACCTGGGCATGAGAGGACCACGGCTGGTCAGCGACATTCAGGGCAGCTCACGTCTATCAGGAACCGAACACAATTTTACATGGAAGCCCGACTTTGGATAAACGGCCATGCCTATGAGACACTGCCATCCCTTAAGCGAGCAGTAGTGAAGAAATGGGCAGGAGGAGAATCCAGTTCCTAGATGGCCTGCTGACACTCAGGTCAGCATGGACGGAAGGCAAGCCTATCAGGTAATTCACAAGAGTGCGCTGACGGAGTCAGGGACAAAAACGCAAAATTGCAAACATACATCCATGCCTCCATCAGGCAGGCTGAAGGAGAATAAGAAGGAAAAAAATCCTTCTGCTCCAAAGCCGCTGGGTCCGCCTCAGCGGTCGTCACTTGTACTAGTTCCCCGAGGAGTGCCGTCCTCACAGGTTCCCAGCCCTACGTGTTCCAGGCTGGCCCGAACACGCAGAGAGAGGAGCGAGCAGCGGCAGCCAGGGAACTGGAGGGCCAGCCCTCCGCGGCTGTCCTCTCGGGGCACAGGCACTCGGGCTCTGCTGGGGGATAGCCCCTCGCACCGCAAGGGCGGCTCTGCCATCAGAGACGCACGGGAGAGTGCCTGCTGGGCCCTGTGCCGCCCTCCCGCTCTCACACCTCACACCCTTCTCTCTGCAAATCTCCCCCCTGTCCGACTCTCAACCCAGGTCCTGCCTTCTTTCCCACACATGACCTCAAAGCAACTGAGGGGCAGCCTCGAGGTGCTGGCTGCCGGCTACCTGGCCCCCGTGGCCAGAGCCCTCGCCCCCTGACTTCCTCACAACCCCTCCCCAGGGCTGGGCTACCCCCTTCGCTGGCTGCAAGACCACCTGCCATCATCCCTGCTACCCCCCAGCGCACCAGCTGCCTATGGGTTCACCCCTAGCAGCCCGGTCAGCACATCCTCTCGCTTCTCTCGCCTTCAAATGGCACAACGGGAACCAGCAGACTCCTCCTCCAGGGCACTCTGCAGTGCCCACTGGGGGTCTCTGAAGGCTGCCTGGGAGAGGCATCTGCTGTCCATACAGTGTATGATCCATCTACATTATGCTTTTAACTGTATAGTGGTGCACTAACTCTAACTTACTGCTATGCAGGAAAAACACCATTTAATGAGACACGAAGACAAACCACAAACCAGACTAATGGGACACAGCACTGATATGACCAGAGCGAGTGGGAGGATGGGGAGGGGAGATGGATGTGTGAACTACAGCCTCCGGTGGGGGGGATGGGAGGCTAGGGTCTGGATTGATGACGGCTAGAGAGACAACACGATGAGTCAGGAAATCAAAACCAATGATTAGAGCAGGCACACCGTCAGAAAACGCCAGAAGGAAAAATTATTCAGGACTGTTCTTTCACAAACACTCCGCAAGAAATCAAGCATGGAGCCACAGAGAAATGGCCAAGAATTTTAAATATCAACGACTTAGACAATGATACAAATTATAAAAGCAGTGTGTCAAAAGACCACAAAATGGACCAGGTACCACTTAACATGCAGCTAAAATGACCCACATTTATTTTAATTCTATGCTAACAACGCAGCTAACATGAAATGGGTGGGAACAGAAGAAAGAGATAATACAGGTGCAGTTTCAAGGCAGAGTGTTGTACACGAGATTCACGGGGTAAAGAGCAATGCACTCAGAAAACTAGGCTACACAGGCAAGAAAGCTGGCACATGTGCTTTAGAGCCGCACACTCTGTCACCAGAAGCCCTAGGTCGTCATCCCGTGTTGAGACGCGGAAGAGTGAGGCAGCCCGACTTCTTCCCTGGGGCCCTGGGGCCCCGGGCCTTTAACTGGTTTCACGCGCACAGCTGGCCTGAGCGCGTGCGGCAAGGCCCATCAGCAAGCGGACCAGTTCAGATTCTTGGTTTTGTTGCCACCGCATGCCCTGCACCCTGCAGCCAGGCGACCCCGGTGGAACATGTGCTGCCCGCCTTTCACTCGCCATGAGGGCTGCCTGTGGTAACTTTCACGAGGCTGTCTGCTCCCTGACGACAGAAACTTCCCTGCCGCTGTCGTGCCCAGCACAGGCCAGGCCCACCGTTCCAGAGGCAGGCTCTGGCTGAGTTCATGATGGCCCGCTAAGCCGGTGGTCCAAATATCAACACTAATTGGTCCCTGTGCCATTATGGAATGATTAAAGACCAGGCAGGTTTAAAACTCTTAGCCCTCTGAGCATAGAAAATGTACCTGATTTTCCTCTGGGGATAAAGAGAAAAAACAAAGAAAGAAAAACAGTGTGCTCGGGGAGGGATGTGGCAGGGAGGAGGCAGACACATACCGCAGTCATGATGCCCAGCCGGTCTCCCTCGTGCGCCAGGCTGCGCCGCCTCTTTCGGGGTGGGGAGGGCGCCCTGCTGGGCGGGCAGGAGCTGGCAAGTGAGGAGGCAGGACACAGGTTGAGGGAGCTCAGGGACTCAAAACGCCGAAGGCTGCCTAAGCGCGCCCTGCCCGGCCTGCTCTCAGTCTCCTCGGCCCGCTGCTCCGTGCTCTCTTCCTCTTGGATCCACCTAAAGGAGAGCAAAACTCGTCAGCTGCCTCTGTCAGCAAAGGAACCTGTCTGGACAGCAAATTTGGGCTGGCATTCTGTGTCACGATAAGCAAATTCCGGGAACATCTGCCCATTTCACATCTCGGCTAAAAGGTTCGACTTTCCCTCTTTTGAATATTCTCGAACTTGGAATAACTGAGCACTGAGTCTTACAAACTGGCCCCTGGTCATTCACGTTTGATTTGACTCCTTTACGCTAACATTGTGATGGGGCCCGACTGGCGACTCTCTCCCTGTGAGGAGATACCTGAAGTTGACAACCTTCACCTTCCCTGCTCTCAGGGCAGAGGTGCACGTCAGGGCCTCAAGTCTTTGCCACTGCAAATCGGGAACTCTCTATAACCAAAACAGCGATTCATGAACAAGCTGGAGTTTCTAAACAACAGTCCCCAGACCAGATGAAGTGCTGAGGGGATTTTTCTTTTCTTACGGTTGCATATGTACAAACGCATCCCTTGATGAAGTTCTCCACCAGCTTTGTGCGAGTCTCTGGATTCATGTCAATGTGCCGCACTGACATAGAATTCACCCTCACTGCTCTTCTGCCCTAATGTGTAGTGGAGGATTTTAAATAGCAGTTGAAATACTCGATGATGCATATAAAATGACTTCCAAAATAAAATACAGGATTCTTGCAGGTCATAACCTCTCCAGCTTCACTTCTACCTATAAGTCCTGAAAGTTTTTCACTGGTGATAGCAAGCTGATGGACAGGATTTGCCATTTATAACAAGTCAACTTACTGCCTAAGGAAAATTCACTTTACCTGACAACTTGCTGTTCAAATAAAAATACTGACATGGAACCGTTCCATCGTTCCTGCGGGGATGGGGAAAGCCCATCTTTCTGAGCTCATCTGAGCTGAAACAGGGCCCAGGAAGCAGTCTGTCTCGGCGTCAAAAGTGCAGGCGGCACCACCTGCGTTTGCTGGGTGTGCCGTTCACCCCTGACTTTCCCCCGAGCCCCGCGTGCTCGGCCCGCAGGCACGGGCACCTCGGCCTGGGCTGACGTGACGAGAACAATCTGAGCAGCAGCTCTGCCTGGTCCTGCACAGGGTCACCGGCCTGCGGCCACTCTGGACGTGGACCCGGGACAGGGGCGTAGCTGTGCGGGTGTGGCCCAGGCAGGCCTCGGGGCCCCCGGACACCCGGCTGCACCCAGACCCAAGGCCCGCTGCTCACCATGAGGCGGGCCTTTGCCTTCTATCCCGTGTTGTAAACTGTTACAACTGCCAAGACGGTGTCTAAAGAAAACATCTGAAATATCCTGATGAGATGAGAGAAACTCAAACATATGTCCTTGGACCACTGTCTTACAACAAGCCAATCTTCACACTGTATTAACTTGAAAAGGACAATGCAGATCTGAATGGGAATTTGCCAACCCCCAAACCCCTGCTTTTCTGTTCCAGGTAGCTTTTCACCAGAACGTGGGAGTCTCCGATGGACACGGGAGGGTGAACTCTCAGTGCTGGAGGGCACACGGGACGCAGAGGACACTGCTTCGGCACCTCACCCACCTTGGGGCTCAGAGCTGGGTGGGGACACCCCACAAAGCCCCCCCACAGAGTGCTGACACCAGCTGTGGACAGAACGGCCTGCCTGTCTGAGCTCTCTCATCAAGGGTGGTCTGAGAACTGAAAATCCTTGAAGCAGGCCTGAAGTCAGTTTTCTCACTATGGAAGACTCAAGACTTCTCGTAGGAGAAGACAGCTCCTCAGAGAAGCCCAGTTTCTGGGGAGCCGAGTTCGGGCACACCCACCGGGTCTCCTCACTGATGGTGTCCAGCTGCTCCCGAGGCATCACAGGCAGAGTGTCGGCATCGGCCTGCCCACTGGGCGGCAGCTGACCGGCCGAGCTGAAGAGGGTGACCCTGTCGCCCTCGCCGTCAGACACATCCTCATCACTCTCGAAGTCCTGGGCCATGGTGGCCACCACGCGGGTCTGCTGCGCGGACTCCCAGTCCTGCTCCCTCTGGCTCTGCACCTGGGCATGAGAGGACCACGGCTGGTCAGCGACATTCAGGACAGCTCACGTCTATCAGGAACCGAACACAATTTTACATGGAAGCCCGACTTTGGATAAACGGCCATGCCTATGAGACACTGCCATCTCTTAAGCGAGCAGTACTGAAGAAATGGGCAGGAGGAGAATCCAGTTCCTAGATGGCCTGCTGACACTCAGGTCAGCATGGACGCAAGGCAATCCTATCAGGTTATTCACAAGAGTGCGCTGACGGAGTCAGGGACAAAAACGCAAAATTGCAAACATACATCCATGCCTCCATCAGGCAGGCTGAAGGAAAATAAGAAGGAAAAAAATCCTTCTGCTCCAAAGCCGCTGGGTCCGCCTCAGCGGTCGTCATTTGTACTAGTTCCCCGAGGAGTGCCGTCCTCACAGGTTCCCAGCCCTACGTGTTCCAGGCTGGCCCGAACACGCAGAGAGAGGAGCGAGCAGGGGCAGCCAGGGAACTGGAGGGCCAGCCCTCCGCGGCTGTCCTCTCGGGGCACAGGCACTCGGGCTCTGCTGGGGGTTAGCCCCTCGCACCGCAAGGGCGGCTCTGCCATCAGAGACGCACGGGAGTGTGCCTGCTGGGCCCTGGGCCGCCCTCCCGCTCTCACACCTCACACCCTTCTCTCTGCAAATCTCCCCCCTGTCCGACTCTCAACCCAGGTCCTGCCTTCTTTCCCACACATGACCTCAAAGCAACTGAGGGGCAGCCTCGAGGTGCTGGCTGCCGGCTACCTGGCCCCCGTGGCCAGAGCCCTCGCCCCCTGACTTCCTCACAACCCCTCCCCAGGGCTGGGCTACCCCCTTCGCTGGCTGCAAGACCACCTGCCACGATCCCTGCTCCCCTCCAGCGCACCAGCTGCCTATGGGTTCACCCCTAGCAGCCCGGTCAGCACATCCTCTCGCTTCTCTCGCCTTCAAATGGCACAACGGGAACCAGCAGACTCCTCCTCCAGGGCACTCTGCAGTGCCCACTGGGGGTCTCTGAAGGCTGCCTGGGAGAGGCATCTGCTGTCCATACAGTGTATGATCCATCTACATTATGCTTTTAACTGTATAGTGGTACACTAACTCTAACTTACTGCTATGCAGGAAAAACACCATTTAATGAGACACGAAGACAAACCACAAACCAGACTAATGGGACACAGCACTGATATGACCAGAGCGAGTGGGAGGATGGGGGAGGGGAGATGGATGTGTGAACTACAGCCTCCGGTGGGGGGGATGGGAGGCTGGGGTCTGGATTGATGACGGCTAGACAGACAACACGATGAGTCAGGAAATCAAAACCAATGATGAAAGCAGGCACACCGTCAGAAAACTCCACAAGGAAAAATTATTCAGGACTGTTCTTTCACAAACACTCCGAAAGAAATCAAGCATGAAGCCACCGAGAAATGGCCAAGAATTTTCAATATCAACGACTTAGACAATGATACAAATTATAAAAGCAGTGTGTCAAAAGACCACAAAATGGACCAGGTACCACTTCACATGCAGCTAAAATGACCCACATTTATTTTAATTCTATGCTAACAACGCAGCTAACATGAAATGGGTGGGAACAGAAGAAAGGGATAATACAGGTGCAGTTTCAAGGCAGAGTGTTGTACACGAGATTCATGGGGTAAACAGCAATGCACTCAGAAAACTAGGCTACACAGGCAAGAAAGCTGGCACATGTGCTTTAGAGCCGCACACTCTGTCACCAGAAGCCCTAGGTCGTCATCCCGTGTTGAGACGCGGAAGAGTGAGGCAGCCCGACTTCTTCCCTGGGGCCCTGGGGCCCCGGGCCTTTAACTGGTTTCACGCGCACAGCTGGCCTGAGCGCGTGCGGCAAGGCCCATAAGCAAGCGGACCAGTTCAGATTCTTGGTTTTGTTGCCACCGCATGCCCTGCACCCTGCAGCCAGGCAACCCCTGCGGAACATGTGCTGCCTGCCTTTCACTCGCCATAAGGGCTGCCTGTGGTAACTTTCACGAGGCTGTCTGCTCCCTGACGACAGAAACTTCCCTGCCGCTGTCGTGCCCAGCACAGGCCAGGCCCACCGCTCCAGAGGCAGGCTCTGGCTGAGTTCATGATGGCCCGCTAAGCCGGTGGTCCAAATATCAACACTAATTGGTCCCTGTGCCATTATGGAATGATTAAAGACCAGGCAGGTTTAAAACTCTTAGCCCTCTGAGCGTAGTAAATGTACCTGATTTTCCTCTGGGGATAAAGAGAAAAAACAAAGAAAGAAAAACAGTGTGCTCGGGGAGGGATGTGGCAGGGAGGAGGCAGACACATACCGCAGTCATGATGCCCAGCCGGTCTCCCTCGTGCGCCAGGCTGCGCCGCCTCTTTCGGGGTGGGGAGGGCGCCCTGCTGGGCGGGCAGGAGCTGGCAAGTGAGGAGGCAGGACACAGGTTGAGGGAGCTCAGGGACTCAAAACGCCGAAGGCTGCCTAAGCGCGCCCTGCCCGGCCTGCTCTCAGTCTCCTCGGCCCGCTGCTCCGTGCTCTCTTCCTCTTGGATCCACCTAAAGGAGAGCAAAACTCGTCAGCTGCCTCTGTCAGCAAAGGAACCTGTCTGGACAGCAAATTTGGGCTGGCATTCTGTGTCACGATAAGCAAATTCCGGGAACATCTGCCCATTTCACATCTCGGCTAAAAGGTTCGACTTTCCCTCTTTTGAATATTCTCGAACTTGGAATAACTGAGCACTGAGTCTTACAAACTGGCCCCTGGTCATTCACGTTTGATTTGACTCCTTTACGCTAACATTGTGATGGGGCCCGACTGGCGACTCTCTCCCTGTGAGGAGATACCTGAAGTTGACAACCTTCACCTTCCCTGCTCTCAGGGCAGAGGTGCACGTCAGGGCCTCAAGTCTTTGCCACTGCAAATCGGGAACTCTCTATAACCAAAACAGCGATTCATGAACAAGCTGGAGTTTCTAAACAACAGTCCCCAGACCAGATGAAGTGCTGAGGGGATTTTTCTTTTCTTACGGTTGCATATGTACAAACGCATCCCTTGATGAAGTTCTCCACCAGCTTTGTGCGAGTCTCTGGATTCATGTCAATGTGCCGCACTGACATAGAATTCACCCTCACTGCTCTTCTGCCCTAATGTGTAGTGGAGGATTTTAAATAGCAGTTGAAATACTCGATGATGCATATAAAATGACTTCCAAAATAAAATACAGGATTCTTGCAGGTCATAACCTCTCCAGCTTCACTTCTACCTATAAGTCCTGAAAGTTTTTCACTGGTGATAGCAAGCTGATGGACAGGATTTGCCATTTATAACAAGTCAACTTACTGCCTAAGGAAAATTCACTTTACCTGACAACTTGCTGTTCAAATAAAAATACTGACATGGAACCGTTCCATCGTTCCTGCGGGGATGGGGAAAGCCCATCTTTCTGAGCTCATCTGAGCTGAAACAGGGCCCAGGAAGCAGTCTGTCTCGGCGTCAAAAGTGCAGGCGGCACCACCTGCGTTTGCTGGGTGTGCCGTTCACCCCTGACTTTCCCCCGAGCCCCGCGTGCTCGGCCCGCAGGCACGGGCACCTCGGCCTGGGCTGACGTGACGAGAACAATCTGAGCAGCAGCTCTGCCTGGTCCTGCACAGGGTCACCGGCCTGCGGCCACTCTGGACGTGGACCCGGGACAGGGGCGTAGCTGTGCGGGTGTGGCCCAGGCAGGCCTCGGGGCCCCCGGACACCCGGCTGCACCCAGACCCAAGGCCCGCTGCTCACCATGAGGCGGGCCTTTGCCTTCTATCCCGTGTTGTAAACTGTTACAACTGCCAAGACGGTGTCTAAAGAAAACATCTGAAATATCCTGATGAGATGAGAGAAACTCAAACATATGTCCTTGGACCACTGTCTTACAACAAGCCAATCTTCACACTGTATTAACTTGAAAAGGACAATGCAGATCTGAATGGGAATTTGCCAACCCCCAAACCCCTGCTTTTCTGTTCCAGGTAGCTTTTCACCAGAACGTGGGAGTCTCCGATGGACACGGGAGGGTGAACTCTCAGTGCTGGAGGGCACACGGGACGCAGAGGACACTGCTTCGGCACCTCACCCACCTTGGGGCTCAGAGCTGGGTGGGGACACCCCACAAAGCCCCCCCACAGAGTGCTGACACCAGCTGTGGACAGAACGGCCTGCCTGTCTGAGCTCTCTCATCAAGGGTGGTCTGAGAACTGAAAATCCTTGAAGCAGGCCTGAAGTCAGTTTTCTCACTATGGAAGACTCAAGACTTCTCGTAGGAGAAGACAGCTCCTCAGAGAAGCCCAGTTTCTGGGGAGCCGAGTTCGGGCACACCCACCGGGTCTCCTCACTGATGGTGTCCAGCTGCTCCCGAGGCATCACAGGCAGAGTGTCGGCATCGGCCTGCCCACTGGGCGGCAGCTGACCGGCCGAGCTGAAGAGGGTGACCCTGTCGCCCTCGCCGTCAGACACATCCTCATCACTCTCGAAGTCCTGGGCCATGGTGGCCACCACGCGGGTCTGCTGCGCGGACTCCCAGTCCTGCTCCCTCTGGCTCTGCACCTGGGCATGAGAGGACCACGGCTGGTCAGCGACATTCAGGACAGCTCACGTCTATCAGGAACCGAACACAATTTTACATGGAAGCCCGACTTTGGATAAACGGCCATGCCTATGAGACACTGCCATCTCTTAAGCGAGCAGTACTGAAGAAATGGGCAGGAGGAGAATCCAGTTCCTAGATGGCCTGCTGACACTCAGGTCAGCATGGACGCAAGGCAATCCTATCAGGTTATTCACAAGAGTGCGCTGACGGAGTCAGGGACAAAAACGCAAAATTGCAAACATACATCCATGCCTCCATCAGGCAGGCTGAAGGAAAATAAGAAGGAAAAAAATCCTTCTGCTCCAAAGCCGCTGGGTCCGCCTCAGCGGTCGTCATTTGTACTAGTTCCCCGAGGAGTGCCGTCCTCACAGGTTCCCAGCCCTACGTGTTCCAGGCTGGCCCGAACACGCAGAGAGAGGAGCGAGCAGGGGCAGCCAGGGAACTGGAGGGCCAGCCCTCCGCGGCTGTCCTCTCGGGGCACAGGCACTCGGGCTCTGCTGGGGGTTAGCCCCTCGCACCGCAAGGGCGGCTCTGCCATCAGAGACGCACGGGAGTGTGCCTGCTGGGCCCTGGGCCGCCCTCCCGCTCTCACACCTCACACCCTTCTCTCTGCAAATCTCCCCCCTGTCCGACTCTCAACCCAGGTCCTGCCTTCTTTCCCACACATGACCTCAAAGCAACTGAGGGGCAGCCTCGAGGTGCTGGCTGCCGGCTACCTGGCCCCCGTGGCCAGAGCCCTCGCCCCCTGACTTCCTCACAACCCCTCCCCAGGGCTGGGCTACCCCCTTCGCTGGCTGCAAGACCACCTGCCACGATCCCTGCTCCCCTCCAGCGCACCAGCTGCCTATGGGTTCACCCCTAGCAGCCCGGTCAGCACATCCTCTCGCTTCTCTCGCCTTCAAATGGCACAACGGGAACCAGCAGACTCCTCCTCCAGGGCACTCTGCAGTGCCCACTGGGGGTCTCTGAAGGCTGCCTGGGAGAGGCATCTGCTGTCCATACAGTGTATGATCCATCTACATTATGCTTTTAACTGTATAGTGGTACACTAACTCTAACTTACTGCTATGCAGGAAAAACACCATTTAATGAGACACGAAGACAAACCACAAACCAGACTAATGGGACACAGCACTGATATGACCAGAGCGAGTGGGAGGATGGGGGAGGGGAGATGGATGTGTGAACTACAGCCTCCGGTGGGGGGGATGGGAGGCTGGGGTCTGGATTGATGACGGCTAGACAGACAACACGATGAGTCAGGAAATCAAAACCAATAATGAAAGCAGGCACACCGTCAGAAAACTCCACAAGGAAAAATTATTCAGGACTGTTCTTTCACAAACACTCCGAAAGAAATCAAGCATGAAGCCACCGAGAAATGGCCAAGAATTTTCAATATCAACGACTTAGACAATGATACAAATTATAAAAGCAGTGTGTCAAAAGACCACAAAATGGACCAGGTACCACTTCACATGCAGCTAAAATGACCCACATTTATTTTAATTCTATGCTAACAACGCAGCTAACATGAAATGGGTGGGAACAGAAGAAAGGGATAATACAGGTGCAGTTTCAAGGCAGAGTGTTGTACACGAGATTCATGGGGTAAACAGCAATGCACTCAGAAAACTAGGCTACACAGGCAAGAAAGCTGGCACATGTGCTTTAGAGCCGCACACTCTGTCACCAGAAGCCCTAGGTCGTCATCCCGTGTTGAGACGCGGAAGAGTGAGGCAGCCCGACTTCTTCCCTGGGGCCCTGGGGCCCCGGGCCTTTAACTGGTTTCACGCGCACAGCTGGCCTGAGCGCGTGCGGCAAGGCCCATAAGCAAGCGGACCAGTTCAGATTCTTGGTTTTGTTGCCACCGCATGCCCTGCACCCTGCAGCCAGGCAACCCCTGCGGAACATGTGCTGCCTGCCTTTCACTCGCCATAAGGGCTGCCTGTGGTAACTTTCACGAGGCTGTCTGCTCCCTGACGACAGAAACTTCCCTGCCGCTGTCGTGCCCAGCACAGGCCAGGCCCACCGCTCCAGAGGCAGGCTCTGGCTGAGTTCATGATGGCCCGCTAAGCCGGTGGTCCAAATATCAACACTAATTGGTCCCTGTGCCATTATGGAATGATTAAAGACCAGGCAGGTTTAAAACTCTTAGCCCTCTGAGCGTAGTAAATGTACCTGATTTTCCTCTGGGGATAAAGAGAAAAAACAAAGAAAGAAAAACAGTGTGCTCGGGGAGGGATGTGGCAGGGAGGAGGCAGACACATACCGCAGTCATGATGCCCAGCCGGTCTCCCTCGTGCGCCAGGCTGCGCCGCCTCTTTCGGGGTGGGGAGGGCGCCCTGCTGGGCGGGCAGGAGCTGGCAAGTGAGGAGGCAGGACACAGGTTGAGGGAGCTCAGGGACTCAAAACGCCGAAGGCTGCCTAAGCGCGCCCTGCCCGGCCTGCTCTCAGTCTCCTCGGCCCGCTGCTCCGTGCTCTCTTCCTCTTGGATCCACCTAAAGGAGAGCAAAACTCGTCAGCTGCCTCTGTCAGCAAAGGAACCTGTCTGGACAGCAAATTTGGGCTGGCATTCTGTGTCACAATAAGCAAATTCCGGGAACATCTGCTCATTTCACATCTCGGCTAAAAGGTTCGACTTTCCCTCTTTTGAATATTCTCAAACTTGGAATAACTGAGCACTGAGTCTTACAAACTGGCCCCTGGTAATTCACGTTTGATTTGACTCCTTTACGCTAACATTGTGATGGGGCCCGACTGGCGACTCTCTCCCTGTGAGGAGATACCTGAAGTTGACAACCTTCACCTTCCCTGCTCTCAGGGCAGAGGTGCACGTCAGGGCCTCAAGTCTTTGCCACTGCAAATCGGGAACTCTCTATAACCAAAACAGCAATTCATGAACAAGCTGGAGTTTCTAAACAAAAGTCCCCAGACCAGATGAAGTGCTGAGGGGATTTTTCTTTTCTTACGGTTGCATATGTACAAACGCATCCCTTGATGAAGTTCTCCACCAGCTTTGTGCGAGTCTCTGGATTCATGTCAATGTGCCGCACTGACATAGAATTCACCCTCACTGCTCTTCTGCCCTAATGTGTAGTGGAGGATTTTAAATAGCAGTTGAAATACTCGATGATGCATATAAAATGACTTCCAAAATAAAATACAGGATTCTTGCAGGTCATAACCTCTCCAGCTTCACTTCTACCTATAAGTCCTGAAAGTTTTTCACTGGTGATAGCAAGCTGATGGACAGGATTTGCCATTTATAACAAGTCAACTTACTGCCTAAGGAAAATTCACTTTACCTGACAACTTGCTGTTCAAATAAAAATACTAACATGGAACCGTTCCATCGTTCCTGCGGGGATGGGGAAAGCCCATCTTTCTGAGCTCGTCTGAGCTGAAACAGGGCCCAGGAAGCAGTCTGTCTCGGCGTCAAAAGTGCAGGCGGCACCACCTGCGTTTGCTGGGTGTGCCGTTCACCCCTGACTTTCCCCGAGCCCCGCGTGCTCGGCCCGCAGGCACGGGCACCTCGGCCTGGGCTGACGTGACGAGAACAATCTGAGCAGCAGCTCTGCCTGGTCCTGCACAGGGTCACCGGCCTGCGGCCACTCTGGACGTGGACCCGGGACAGGGGCGTAGCTGTGCGGGTGTGGCCCAGGCAGGCCTCGGGGCCCCCGGACACCCGGCTGCACCCAGACCCAAGGCCCGCTGCTCACCATGAGGCGGGCCTTTGCCTTCTATCCCGTGTTGTAAACTGTTACAACTGCCAAGACGGTGTCTAAAGAAAACATCTGAAATATCCTGATGAGATGAGAGAAACTCAAACATATGTCCTTGGACCACTGTCTTACAACAAGCCAATCTTCACACTGTATTAACTTGAAAAGGACAATGCAGATCTGAATGGGAATTTGCCAACCCCCAAACCCCTGCTTTTCTGTTCCAGGTAGCTTTTCACCAGAACGTGGGAGTCTCCGATGGACACGGGAGGGTGAACTCTCAGTGCTGGAGGGCACACGGGACGCAGAGGACACTGCTTCGGCACCTCACCCACCTTGGGGCTCAGAGCTGGGTGGGGACACCCCACAAAGCCCCCCCACAGAGTGCTGACACCAGCTGTGGACAGAACGGCCTGCCTGTCTGAGCTCTCTCATCAAGGGTGGTCTGAGAACTGAAAATCCTTGAAGCAGGCCTGAAGTCAGTTTTCTCACTATGGAAGACTCAAGACTTCTCGTAGGAGAAGACAGCTCCTCAGAGAAGCCCAGTTTCTGGGGAGCCGAGTTCGGGCACACCCACCGGGTCTCCTCACTGATGGTGTCCAGCTGCTCCCGAGGCATCACAGGCAGAGTGTCGGCATCGGCCTGCCCACTGGGCGGCAGCTGACCGGCCGAGCTGAAGAGGGTGACCCTGTCGCCCTCGCCGTCAGACACATCCTCATCACTCTCGAAGTCCTGGGCCATGGTGGCCACCACGCGGGTCTGCTGCGCGGACTCCCAGTCCTGCTCCCTCTGGCTCTGCACCTGGGCATGAGAGGACCACGGCTGGTCAGCGACATTCAGGACAGCTCACGTCTATCAGGAACCGAACACAATTTTACATGGAAGCCCGACTTTGGATAAACGGCCATGCCTATGAGACACTGCCATCTCTTAAGCGAGCAGTACTGAAGAAATGGGCAGGAGGAGAATCCAGTTCCTAGATGGCCTGCTGACACTCAGGTCAGCATGGACGCAAGGCAATCCTATCAGGTTATTCACAAGAGTGCGCTGACGGAGTCAGGGACAAAAACGCAAAATTGCAAACATACATCCATGCCTCCATCAGGCAGGCTGAAGGAAAATAAGAAGGAAAAAAATCCTTCTGCTCCAAAGCCGCTGGGTCCGCCTCAGCGGTCGTCATTTGTACTAGTTCCCCGAGGAGTGCCGTCCTCACAGGTTCCCAGCCCTACGTGTTCCAGGCTGGCCCGAACACGCAGAGAGAGGAGCGAGCAGGGGCAGCCAGGGAACTGGAGGGCCAGCCCTCCGCGGCTGTCCTCTCGGGGCACAGGCACTCGGGCTCTGCTGGGGGTTAGCCCCTCGCACCGCAAGGGCGGCTCTGCCATCAGAGACGCACGGGAGTGTGCCTGCTGGGCCCTGGGCCGCCCTCCCGCTCTCACACCTCACACCCTTCTCTCTGCAAATCTCCCCCCTGTCCGACTCTCAACCCAGGTCCTGCCTTCTTTCCCACACATGACCTCAAAGCAACTGAGGGGCAGCCTCGAGGTGCTGGCTGCCGGCTACCTGGCCCCCGTGGCCAGAGCCCTCGCCCCCTGACTTCCTCACAACCCCTCCCCAGGGCTGGGCTACCCCCTTCGCTGGCTGCAAGACCACCTGCCACGATCCCTGCTCCCCTCCAGCGCACCAGCTGCCTATGGGTTCACCCCTAGCAGCCCGGTCAGCACATCCTCTCGCTTCTCTCGCCTTCAAATGGCACAACGGGAACCAGCAGACTCCTCCTCCAGGGCACTCTGCAGTGCCCACTGGGGGTCTCTGAAGGCTGCCTGGGAGAGGCATCTGCTGTCCATACAGTGTATGATCCATCTACATTATGCTTTTAACTGTATAGTGGTACACTAACTCTAACTTACTGCTATGCAGGAAAAACACCATTTAATGAGACACGAAGACAAACCACAAACCAGACTAATGGGACACAGCACTGATATGACCAGAGCGAGTGGGAGGATGGGGGAGGGGAGATGGATGTGTGAACTACAGCCTCCGGTGGGGGGGATGGGAGGCTGGGGTCTGGATTGATGACGGCTAGACAGACAACACGATGAGTCAGGAAATCAAAACCAATGATGAAAGCAGGCACACCGTCAGAAAACTCCACAAGGAAAAATTATTCAGGACTGTTCTTTCACAAACACTCCGAAAGAAATCAAGCATGAAGCCACCGAGAAATGGCCAAGAATTTTCAATATCAACGACTTAGACAATGATACAAATTATAAAAGCAGTGTGTCAAAAGACCACAAAATGGACCAGGTACCACTTCACATGCAGCTAAAATGACCCACATTTATTTTAATTCTATGCTAACAACGCAGCTAACATGAAATGGGTGGGAACAGAAGAAAGGGATAATACAGGTGCAGTTTCAAGGCAGAGTGTTGTACACGAGATTCATGGGGTAAACAGCAATGCACTCAGAAAACTAGGCTACACAGGCAAGAAAGCTGGCACATGTGCTTTAGAGCCGCACACTCTGTCACCAGAAGCCCTAGGTCGTCATCCCGTGTTGAGACGCGGAAGAGTGAGGCAGCCCGACTTCTTCCCTGGGGCCCTGGGGCCCCGGGCCTTTAACTGGTTTCACGCGCACAGCTGGCCTGAGCGCGTGCGGCAAGGCCCATAAGCAAGCGGACCAGTTCAGATTCTTGGTTTTGTTGCCACCGCATGCCCTGCACCCTGCAGCCAGGCAACCCCTGCGGAACATGTGCTGCCTGCCTTTCACTCGCCATAAGGGCTGCCTGTGGTAACTTTCACGAGGCTGTCTGCTCCCTGACGACAGAAACTTCCCTGCCGCTGTCGTGCCCAGCACAGGCCAGGCCCACCGCTCCAGAGGCAGGCTCTGGCTGAGTTCATGATGGCCCGCTAAGCCGGTGGTCCAAATATCAACACTAATTGGTCCCTGTGCCATTATGGAATGATTAAAGACCAGGCAGGTTTAAAACTCTTAGCCCTCTGAGCGTAGTAAATGTACCTGATTTTCCTCTGGGGATAAAGAGAAAAAACAAAGAAAGAAAAACAGTGTGCTCGGGGAGGGATGTGGCAGGGAGGAGGCAGACACATACCGCAGTCATGATGCCCAGCCGGTCTCCCTCGTGCGCCAGGCTGCGCCGCCTCTTTCGGGGTGGGGAGGGCGCCCTGCTGGGCGGGCAGGAGCTGGCAAGTGAGGAGGCAGGACACAGGTTGAGGGAGCTCAGGGACTCAAAACGCCGAAGGCTGCCTAAGCGCGCCCTGCCCGGCCTGCTCTCAGTCTCCTCGGCCCGCTGCTCCGTGCTCTCTTCCTCTTGGATCCACCTAAAGGAGAGCAAAACTCGTCAGCTGCCTCTGTCAGCAAAGGAACCTGTCTGGACAGCAAATTTGGGCTGGCATTCTGTGTCACAATAAGCAAATTCCGGGAACATCTGCTCATTTCACATCTCGGCTAAAAGGTTCGACTTTCCCTCTTTTGAATATTCTCAAACTTGGAATAACTGAGCACTGAGTCTTACAAACTGGCCCCTGGTAATTCACGTTTGATTTGACTCCTTTACGCTAACATTGTGATGGGGCCCGACTGGCGACTCTCTCCCTGTGAGGAGATACCTGAAGTTGACAACCTTCACCTTCCCTGCTCTCAGGGCAGAGGTGCACGTCAGGGCCTCAAGTCTTTGCCACTGCAAATCGGGAACTCTCTATAACCAAAACAGCAATTCATGAACAAGCTGGAGTTTCTAAACAAAAGTCCCCAGACCAGATGAAGTGCTGAGGGGATTTTTCTTTTCTTACGGTTGCATATGTACAAACGCATCCCTTGATGAAGTTCTCCACCAGCTTTGTGCGAGTCTCTGGATTCATGTCAATGTGCCGCACTGACATAGAATTCACCCTCACTGCTCTTCTGCCCTAATGTGTAGTGGAGGATTTTAAATAGCAGTTGAAATACTCGATGATGCATATAAAATGACTTCCAAAATAAAATACAGGATTCTTGCAGGTCATAACCTCTCCAGCTTCACTTCTACCTATAAGTCCTGAAAGTTTTTCACTGGTGATAGCAAGCTGATGGACAGGATTTGCCATTTATAACAAGTCAACTTACTGCCTAAGGAAAATTCACTTTACCTGACAACTTGCTGTTCAAATAAAAATACTAACATGGAACCGTTCCATCGTTCCTGCGGGGATGGGGAAAGCCCATCTTTCTGAGCTCGTCTGAGCTGAAACAGGGCCCAGGAAGCAGTCTGTCTCGGCGTCAAAAGTGCAGGCGGCACCACCTGCGTTTGCTGGGTGTGCCGTTCACCCCTGACTTTCCCCGAGCCCCGCGTGCTCGGCCCGCAGGCACGGGCACCTCGGCCTGGGCTGACGTGACGAGAACAATCTGAGCAGCAGCTCTGCCTGGTCCTGCACAGGGTCACCGGCCTGCGGCCACTCTGGACGTGGACCCGGGACAGGGGCGTAGCTGTGCGGGTGTGGCCCAGGCAGGCCTCGGGGCCCCCGGACACCCGGCTGCACCCAGACCCAAGGCCCGCTGCTCACCACGAGGCGGGCCTTTGCCTTCTATCCCGTGTTGTAAACTGTTACAACTGCCAAGACGGTGTCTAAAGAAAACATCTGAAATATCCTGATGAGATGAGAGAAACTCAAACATATGTCCTTGGACCACTGTCTTACAACAAGCCAATCTTCACACTGTATTAACTTGAAAAGGACAATGCAGATCTGAATGGGAATTTGCCAACCCCCAAACCCCTGCTTTTCTGTTCCAGGTAGCTTTTCACCAGAACGTGGGAGTCTCCGATGGACACGGGAGGGTGAACTCTCAGTGCTGGAGGGCACACGGGACGCAGAGGACACTGCTTCGGCACCTCACCCACCTTGGGGCTCAGAGCTGGGTGGGGACACCCCACAAAGCCCCCCCACAGAGTGCTGACACCAGCTGTGGACAGAACGGCCTGCCTGTCTGAGCTCTCTCATCAAGGGTGGTCTGAGAACTGAAAATCCTTGAAGCAGGCCTGAAGTCAGTTTTCTCACAATGGAAGACTCAAGACTTCTCGTAGGAGAAGACAGCTCCTCAGAGAAGCCCAGTTTCTGGGGAGCCGAGTTCGGGCACACCCACCGGGTCTCCTCACTGATGGTGTCCAGCTGCTCCCGAGGCATCACAGGCAGAGTGTCGGCATCGGCCTGCCCACTGGGCGGCAGCTGACCGGCCGAGCTGAAGAGGGTGACCCTGTCGCCCTCGCCGTCAGACACATCCTCATCACTCTCGAAGTCCTGGGCCATGGTGGCCACCACGCGGGTCTGCTGCGCGGACTCCCAGTCCTGCTCCCTCTGGCTCTGCACCTGGGCATGAGAGGACCACGGCTGGTCAGCGACATTCAGGACAGCTCACGTCTATCAGGAACCGAACACAATTTTACATGGAAGCCCGACTTTGGATAAACGGCCATGCCTATGAGACACTGCCATCTCTTAAGCGAGCAGTACTGAAGAAATGGGCAGGAGGAGAATCCAGTTCCTAGATGGCCTGCTGACACTCAGGTCAGCATGGACGGAAGGCAAGCCTATCAGGTTATTCACAAGAGTGCGCTGACGGAGTCAGGGACAAAAACGCAAAATTGCAAACATACATCCATGCCTCCATCAGGCAGGCTGAAGGAGAATAAGAAGGAAAAAAATCCTTCTGCTCCAAAGCCGCTGGGTCCGCCTCAGCGGTCGTCACTTGTACTAGTTCCCCGAGGAGTGCCGTCCTCACAGGTTCCCAGCCCTACGTGTTCCAGGCTGGCCCGAACACGCAGAGAGAGGAGCGAGCAGGGGCAGCCAGGGAACTGGAGGGCCAGCCCTCCGCGGCTGTCCTCTCGGGGCACAGGCACTCGGGCTCTGCTGGGGGATAGCCCCTCGCACCGCAAGGGCGGCTCTGCCATCAGAGACGCACGGGAGAGTGCCTGCTGGGCCCTGGGCTGCCCTCCCTCTCTCACACCTCACACCCTTCTCTCTGCAAATCTCCCCCCTGTCCGACTCTCAACCCAGGTCCTGCCTTCTTTCCCACACATGACCTCAAAGCAACTGAGGGGCAGCCTCGAGGTGCTGGCTGCCGGCTACCTGGCTCCCGTGGCCAGAGCCCTCGCCCCCTGACTTCCTCACAACCCCTCCCCAGGGCTGGGCTACCCCCTTCGCTGGCTGCAAGACCACCTGCCACGATCCCTGCTCCCCTCCAGCGCACCAGCTGCCTATGGGTTCACCCCTAGCAGCCCGGTCAGCACATCCTCTCGCTTCTCTCGCCTTCAAATGGCACAACGGGAACCAGCAGACTCCTCCTCCAGGGCACTCTGCAGTGCCCACTGGGGGTCTCTGAAGGCTGCCTGGGAGAGGCATCTGCTGTCCATACAGTGTATGATCCATCTACATTATGCTTTTAACTGTATAGTGGTACACTAACTCTAACTTACTGCTATGCAGGAAAAACACCATTTAATGAGACACGAAGACAAACCACAAACCAGACTAATGGGACACAGCACTGATATGACCAGAGCGAGTGGGAGGATGGGGGAGGGGAGATGGATGTGTGAACTACAGCCTCCGGTGGGGGGGATGGGAGGCTGGGGTCTGGATTGATGACGGCTAAACAGACAACTCGATGAGTCAGGAAATCAAAACCAATGATGAGAGCAGGCACACCGTCAGAAAACTCCACAAGGAAAAATTATTCAGGACTGTTCTTTCACAAACACTCCGCAAGAAATCAAGCATGGAGCCACAGAGAAATGGCCAAGAATTTTAAATATCAACGACTTAGACAATGATACAAATTATAAAAGCAGTGTGTCAAAAGACCACAAAATGGACCAGGTACCACTTCACATGCAGCTAAAATGACCCACATTTATTTTAATTCTATGCTAACAACGCAGCTAACATGAAATGGGTGGGAACAGAAGAAAGGGATAATACAGGTGCAGTTTCAAGGCAGAGTGTTGTACACGAGATTCACGGGGTAAACAGCAATGCACTCAGAAAACTAGGCTACACAGGCAAGAAAGCTGGCACATGTGCTTTAGAGCCGCACACTCTGTCACCAGAAGCCCTAGGTCGTCATCCCGTGTTGAGACGCGGAAGAGTGAGGCAGCCCGACTTCTTCCCTGGGGCCCTGGGGCCCCGGGCCTTTAACTGGTTTCACGCGCACAGCTGGCCTGAGCGCGTGTGGCAAGGCCCATCAGCAAGCGGACCAGTTCAGATTCTTGGTTTTGTTGCCACCGCATGCCCTGCACCCTGCAGCCATGCAACCCCGGTGGAACATGTGCTGCCCGCCTTTCACTCGCCATGAGGGCTGCCTGTGGTAACTTTCACGAGGCTGTCTGCTCCCTGACGACAGGAACTTCCCTGCCGCTGTCGTGCCCAGCACAGGCCAGGCCCACCGCTCCAGAGGCAGGCTCTGGCTGAGTTCATGATGGCCCGCTAAGCCGGTGGTGCAAATATCAACACTAATTGGTCCCTGTGCCATTATGGAATGATTAAAGACCAGGCAGTTTTAAAACTCTTAGCCCTCTGAGTGTAGTAAATGTACCTGATTTTACTCTGGGGATAAAGAGAAAAAACAAAGAAAGAAAAACAGTGTGCTCGGGGAGGGATGTGGCAGGGAGGAGGCAGACACATACCGCAGTCATGACGCCCAGCCGGTCTCCCTCGTGCGCCAGGCTGTGCCGCGTCTTTCGGGGTGGGGAGGGCGCCCTGCTGGGCGGGCAGGAGCTGGCAAGTGAGGAGGCAGGACACAGGTTGAGGGAGCTCAGGGACTCAAAACGCCGAAGGCTGCCTAAGCGCGCCCTGCCCGCCCTGCTCTCAGTCTCCTCGGCCCGCTGCTCTGTGCTCTCTTCCTCTTGGATCCACCTAAAGGAGAGCAAAACTCGTCAGCTGCCTCTGTCAGCACAGGAACCTGTCTGGACAGCAAATTTGGGCTGGCATTCTGTGTCACGATGAGCCAATTTCGGGAACATCTGCTCATTTCACATCTCGGCTAAAAGGTTCGACTTTCCCTCTTTTGAATATTCTCAAACTTGGAATAACTGAGCACTGAGTCTTACAAACTGGCCCCTGGTCATTCACGTTTGATTTGACTCCTTTACGTTAACATTGTGATGGGGCCCGACTGGCGACTCTCTCCCTGTGAGGAGATACCTGAAGTTGACAACCTTCACCTTCCCTGCTCTCAGGGCAGAGGTGCACGTCAGGGCCTCAAGTCTTTGCCACTGCAAATCGGGAACTCTCTATAACCAAAACAGCGATTCATGAACAAGCTGGAGTTTCTAAACAAAAGTCCCCAGACCAGATGAAGTGCTGAGGGGATTTTTCTTTTCTTACGGTTGCATATGTACAAACGCATCCCTTGATGAAGTTCTCCACCAGCTTTGTGCGAGTCTCTGGATTCATGTCAATGTGCCGCACTGACATAGAATTCACCCTCACTGCTCTTCTGCCCTAATGTGTAGTGGAGGATTTTAAATAGCAGTTGAAATACTCGATGATGCATATAAAATGACTTCCAAAATAAAATACAGGATTCTTGCAGGTCATAAACTCTCCAGCTTCACTTCTACCTATAAGTCCTGAAAGTTTTTCACTGGTGATAGCAAGCTGATGGACAGGATTTGCCATTTATAACAAGTCAACTTACTGCCTAAGGAAAATTCACTTTACCTGACAACTTGCTGTTAAAATAAAAATACTAACATGGAACCGTTCCATCGTTCCTGCGGGGATGGGGAAAGCCCATCTTTCTGAGCTCGTCTGAGCTGAAACAGGGCCCAGGAAGCAGTCTGTCTCGGCGTCAAAAGTGCAGGCGGCACCACCTGCGTTTGCTGGGTGTGCCGTTCACCCCTGACTTTCCCCCAAGCCCCGCGTGCTCGGCCCGCAGGCACGGGCACCTCGGCCTGGGCTGACGTGACGAGAACAATCTGAGCAGCAGCTCTGCCTGGTCCTGCACAGGGTCACCGGCCTGCGGCCACTCTGGACGGGGACCCGGGACAGGGGCGTAGCTGTGCGGGTGTGGCCCAGGCAGGCCTCGGGGCCCCCGGACACCCGGCTGCACCCAGACCCAAGGCCCGCTGCTCACCATGAGGCGGGCCTTTGCCTTCTATCCCGTGTTGTAAACTGTTACAACTGCCAAGACGGTGTCTAAAGAAAACATCTGAAATATCCTGATGAGATGAGAGAAACTCAAACATATGTCCTTGGACCACTGTCTTACAACAAGCCAATCTTCACACTGTATTAACTTGAAAAGGACAATGCAGATCTGAATGGGAATTTGCCAACCCCCAAACCCCTGCTTTTCTGTTCCAGGTAGCTTTTCACCAGAACGTGGGAGTCTCCGATGGACACGGGAGGGTGAACTCTCAGTGCTGGAGGGCACACGGGACGCAGAGGACACTGCGTCGGCACCTCACCCACCTTGGGGCTCAGAGCTGGGGGGGGACACCCCACAAAGCCCCCCCACAGAGTGCTGACACCAGCTGTGGACAGAACGGCCTGCCTGTCTGAGCTCTCTCATCAAGGGTGGTCTGAGAACTGAAAATCCTTGAAGCAGGCCTGAAGTCAGTTTTCTCACTATGGAAGACTCAAGACTTCTCGTAGGAGAAGACAGCTCCTCAGAGAAGCCCAGTTTCTGGGGAGCCGAGTTCGGGCACACCCACCGGGTCTCCTCACTGATGGTGTCCAGCTGCTCCCGAGGCATCACAGGCAGAGTGTCGGCATCGGCCTGCCCACTGGGCGGCAGCTGACCGGCCGAGCTGAAGAGGGTGACCCTGTCGCCCTCGCCGTCAGACACATCCTCATCACTCTCGAAGTCCTGGGCCATGGTGGCCACCACGCGGGTCTGCTGCGCGGACTCCCAGTCCTGCTCCCTCTGGCTCTGCACCTGGGCATGAGAGGACCACGGCTGGTCAGCGACATTCAGGACAGCTCACGTCTATCAGGAACCGAACACAATTTTACATGGAAGCCCGACTTTGGATAAACGGCCATGCCTATGAGACACTGCCATCTCTTAAGCGAGCAGTACTGAAGAAATGGGCAGGAGGAGAATCCAGTTCCTAGATGGCCTGCTGACACTCAGGTCAGCATGGACGGAAGGCAAGCCTATCAGGTTATTCACAAGAGTGCGCTGACGGAGTCAGGGACAAAAACGCAAAATTGCAAACATACATCCATGCCTCCATCAGGCAGGCTGAAGGAAAATAAGAAGGAAAAAAATCCTTCTGCTCCAAAGCCGCTGGGTCCGCCTCAGCGGTCGTCACTTGTACTACTTCCCCGAGGAGTGCCATCCTCACAGGTTCCCAGCCCTACGTGTTCCAGGCTGGCCCGAACACGCAGAGAGAGGAGCGAGCAGGGGCAGCCAGGGAACTGGAGGGCCAGCCCTCCGCGGCTGTCCTCTCGGGGCACAGGCACTCGGGCTCTGCTGGGGGATAGCCCCTCGCACCGCAAGGGCGGCTCTGCCATCAGAGACGCACAGGAGAGTGCCTGCTGGGCCCTGTGCCACCCTCCCGCTCTCACACCTCACACCCTTCTCTCTGCAAATCTCCCCCCTGTCCGACTCTCAACCCAGGTCCTGCCTTCTTTCCCACACATGACCTCAAAGCAACTGAGGGGCAGCCTCGAGGTGCTGGCTGCCGGCTACCTGGCCCCCGTGGCCAGAGCCCTCGCCCCCTGACTTCCTCACAACCCCTCCCCAGGGCTGGGCTACCCCCTTCGCTGGCTGCAAGACCACCTGCCACGATCCCTGCTCCCCTCCAGCGCACCAGCTGCCTATGGGTTCACCCCTAGCAGCCCGGTCAGCACATCCTCTCGCTTCTCTCGCCTTCAAATGGCACAACGGGAACCAGCAGACTCCTCCTCCAGGGCACTCTGCAGTGCCCACTGGGGGTCTCTGAAGGCTGCCTGGGAGAGGCATCTGCTGTCCATACAGTGTATGATCCATCTACATTATGCTTTTAACTGTATAGTGGTACACTAACTCTAACTTACTGCTATGCAGGAAAAACACCATTTAATGAGACACGAAGACAAACCACAAACCAGACTAATGGGACACAGCACTGATATGACCAGAGCGAGTGGGAGGATGGGGGAGGGGAGATGGATGTGTGAACTACAGCCTCCGGTGGGGGGGATGGGAGGCTGGGGTCTGGATTGATGACGGCTAGACAGACAACACGATGAGTCAGGAAATCAAAACCAATGATGAAAGCAGGCACACCGTCAGAAAACTCCACAAGGAAAAATTATTCAGGACTGTTCTTTCACAAACACTCCGAAAGAAATCAAGCATGAAGCCACCGAGAAATGGCCAAGAATTTTAAATATCAACGACTTAGACAATGATACAAATTATAAAAGCAGTGTGTCAAAAGACCACAAAATGGACGAGGTACCACTTAACATGCAGCTAAAATGACCCACATTTATTTTAATTCTATGCTAACAACGCAGCTAACATGAAATGGGTGGGAACAGAAGAAAGGGATAATACAGGTGCAGTTTCAAGGCAGAGTGTTGTACACGAGATTCATGGGGTAAACAGCAATGCACTCAGAAAACTAGGCTACACAGGCAAGAAAGCTGGCACATGTGCTTTAGAGCCGCACACTCTGTCACCAGAAGCCCTAGGTCGTCATCCCGTGTTGAGACGCGGAAGAGTGAGGCAGCCCGACTTCTTCCCTGGGGCCCTGGGGCCCCGGGCCTTTAACTGGTTTCACGCGCACAGCTGGCCTGAGCGCGTGCGGCAAGGCCCATAAGCAAGCGGACCAGTTCAGATTCTTGGTTTTGTTGCCACCGCATGCCCTGCACCCTGCAGCCAGGCAACCCCTGCGGAACATGTGCTGCCTGCCTTTCACTCGCCATAAGGGCTGCCTGTGGTAACTTTCACGAGGCTGTCTGCTCCCTGACGACAGAAACTTCCCTGCCGCTGTCGTGCCCAGCACAGGCCAGGCCCACCGCTCCAGAGGCAGGCTCTGGCTGAGTTCATGATGGCCCGCTAAGCCGGTGGTCCAAATATCAACACTAATTGGTCCCTGTGCCATTATGGAATGATTAAAGACCAGGCAGGTTTAAAACTCTTAGCCCTCTGAGCGTAGTAAATGTACCTGATTTTCCTCTGGGGATAAAGAGAAAAAACAAAGAAAGAAAAACAGTGTGCTCGGGGAGGGATGTGGCAGGGAGGAGGCAGACACATACCGCAGTCATGATGCCCAGCCGGTCTCCCTCGTGCGCCAGGCTGCGCCGCCTCTTTCGGGGTGGGGAGGGCGCCCTGCTGGGCGGGCAGGAGCTGGCAAGTGAGGAGGCAGGACACAGGTTGAGGGAGCTCAGGGACTCAAAACGCCGAAGGCTGCCTAAGCGCGCCCTGCCCGGCCTGCTCTCAGTCTCCTCGGCCCGCTGCTCCGTGCTCTCTTCCTCTTGGATCCACCTAAAGGAGAGCAAAACTCGTCAGCTGCCTCTGTCAGCAAAGGAACCTGTCTGGACAGCAAATTTGGGCTGGCATTCTGTGTCACAATAAGCAAATTCCGGGAACATCTGCTCATTTCACATCTCGGCTAAAAGGTTCGACTTTCCCTCTTTTGAATATTCTCAAACTTGGAATAACTGAGCACTGAGTCTTACAAACTGGCCCCTGGTAATTCACGTTTGATTTGACTCCTTTACGCTAACATTGTGATGGGGCCCGACTGGCGACTCTCTCCCTGTGAGGAGATACCTGAAGTTGACAACCTTCACCTTCCCTGCTCTCAGGGCAGAGGTGCACGTCAGGGCCTCAAGTCTTTGCCACTGCAAATCGGGAACTCTCTATAACCAAAACAGCAATTCATGAACAAGCTGGAGTTTCTAAACAAAAGTCCCCAGACCAGATGAAGTGCTGAGGGGATTTTTCTTTTCTTACGGTTGCATATATACAAACGCATCCCTTGATGAAGTTCTCCACCAGCTTTGTGCGAGTCTCTGGATTCATGTCAATGTGCCGCACTGACATAGAATTCACCCTCACTGCTCTTCTGCCCTAATGTGTAGTGGAGGATTTTAAATAGCAGTTGAAATACTCGATGATGCATATAAAATGACTTCCAAAATAAAATACAGGATTCTTGCAGGTCATAACCTCTCCAGCTTCACTTCTACCTATAAGTCCTGAAAGTTTTTCACTGGTGATAGCAAGCTGATGGACAGGATTTGCCATTTATAACAAGTCAACTTACTGCCTAAGGAAAATTCACTTTACCTGACAACTTGCTGTTCAAATAAAAATACTAACATGGAACCGTTCCATCGTTCCTGCGGGGATGGGGAAAGCCCATCTTTCTGAGCTCGTCTGAGCTGAAACAGGGCCCAGGAAGCAGTCTGTCTCGGCGTCAAAAGTGCAGGCGGCACCACCTGCGTTTGCTGGGTGTGCCGTTCACCCCTGACTTTCCCCGAGCCCCGCGTGCTCGGCCCGCAGGCACGGGCACCTCGGCCTGGGCTGACGTGACGAGAACAATCTGAGCAACAGCTCTGCCTGGTCCTGCACAGGGTCACCGGCCTGCGGCCACTCTGGACGTGGACCCGGGACAGGGGCGTAGCTGTGCGGGTGTGGCCCAGGCAGGCCTCGGGGCCCCCGGACACCCGGCTGCACCCAGACCCAAGGCCCGCTGCTCACCACGAGGCCGGCCTTTGCCTTCTATCCCGTGTTGTAAACTGTTACAACTGCCAAGACGGTGTCTAAAGAAAACATCTGAAATATCCTGATGAGATGAGAGAAACTCAAACATATGTCCTTGGACCACTGTCTTACAACAAGCCAATCTTCACACTGTATTAACTTGAAAAGGACAATGCAGATCTGAATGGGAATTTGCCAACCCCCAAACCCCTGCTTTTCTGTTCCAGGTAGCTTTTCACCAGAACGTGGGAGTCTCCGATGGACACGGGAGGGTGAACTCTCAGTGCTGGAGGGCACACGGGACGCAGAGGACACTGCGTCGGCACCTCACCCACCTTGGGGCTCAGAGCTGGGGGGGGACACCCCACAAAGCCCCCCCACAGAGTGCTGACACCAGCTGTGGACAGAACGGCCTGCCTGTCTGAGCTCTCTCATCAAGGGTGGTCTGAGAACTGAAAATCCTTGAAGCAGGCCTGAAGTCAGTTTTCTCACTATGGAAGACTCAAGACTTCTCGTAGGAGAAGACAGCTCCTCAGAGAAGCCCAGTTTCTGGGGAGCCGAGTTCGGGCACACCCACCGGGTCTCCTCACTGATGGTGTCCAGCTGCTCCCGAGGCATCACAGGCAGAGTGTCGGCATCGGTCTGCCCACTGGGCGGCAGCTGACCGGCCGAGCTGAAGAGGGTGACCCTGTCGCCCTCGCCGTCAGACACATCCTCATCACTCTCGAAGTCCTGGGCCATGGTGGCCACCACGCGGGTCTGCTGCGTGGACTCCCAGTCCTGCTCCCTCTGGCTCTGCACCTGGGCATGAGAGGACCACGGCTGGTCAGCGACATTCAGGACAGCTCACGTCTATCAGGAACCGAACACAATTTTACATGGAAGCCCGACTTTGGATAAACGGCCATGCCTATGAGACACTGCCATCTCTTAAGCGAGCAGTACTGAAGAAATGGGCAGGAGGAGAATCCAGTTCCTAGATGGCCTGCTGACACTCAGGTCAGCATGGACGGAAGGCAAGCCTATCAGGTTATTCACAAGAGTGCGCTGACGGAGTCAGGGACAAAAACGCAAAATTGCAAACATACATCCATGCCTCCATCAGGCAGGCTGAAGGAGAATAAGAAGGAAAAAAATCCTTCTGCTCCAAAGCCGCTGGGTCCGCCTCAGCGGTCGTCACTTGTACTAGTTCCCCGAGGAGTGCCGTCCTCACAGGTTCCCAGCCCTACGTGTTCCAGGCTGGCCCGAACACGCAGAGAGAGGAGCGAGCAGGGGCAGCCAGGGAACTGGAGGGCCAGCCCTCCGCGGCTGTCCTCTCGGGGCACAGGCACTCGGGCTCTGCTGGGGGATAGCCCCTCGCACCGCAAGGGCGGCTCTGCCATCAGAGACGCACGGGAGAGTGCCTGCTGGGCCCTGGGCCGCCCTCCCGCTCTCACACCTCACACCCTTCTCTCTGCAAATCTCCCCCCTGTCCGACTCTCAACCCAGGTCCTGCCTTCTTTCCCACACATGACCTCAAAGCAACTGAGGGGCAGCCTCGAGGTGCTGGCTGCCGGCTACCTGGCCCCCGTGGCCAGAGCCCTCGCCCCCTGACTTCCTCACAACCCCTCCCCAGGGCTGGGCTACCCCCTTCGCTGGCTGCAAGACCACCTGCCACGATCCCTGCTCCCCTCCAGCGCACCAGCTGCCTATGGGTTCACCCCTAGCAGCCCGGTCAGCACATCCTCTCGCTTCTCTCGCCTTCAAATGGCACAACGGGAACCAGCAGACTCCTCCTCCAGGGCACTCTGCAGTGCCCACTGGGGGTCTCTGAAGGCTGCCTGGGAGAGGCATCTGCTGTCCATACAGTGTATGATCCATCTACATTATGCTTTTAACTGTATAGTGGTACACTAACTCTAACTTACTGCTATGCAGGAAAAACACCATTTAATGAGACACGAAGACAAACCACAAACCAGACTAATGGGACACAGCACTGATATGACCAGAGCGAGTGGGAGGATGGGGGAGGGGAAACGGATGTGTGAACTACAGCCTCCGGTGGGGGGGATGGGAGGCTGGGGTCTGGATTGATGACGGCTAAACAGACAACACGATGAGTCAGGAAATCAAAACCAATGATGAGAGCAGGCACACCGTCAGAAAACTCCACAAGGAAAAATTATTCAGGACTGTTCTTTCACAAACACTCCGCAAGAAATCAAGCATGGAGCCACAGAGAAATGGCCAAGAATTTTAAATATCAACGACTTAGACAATGATACAAATTATAAAAGCAGTGTGTCAAAAGACCACAAAATGGACCAGGTACCACTTCACATGCAGCTAAAATGACCCACATTTATTTTAATTCTATGCTAACAACGCAGCTAACATGAAATGGGTTGGAACAGAAGAAAGGGATAATACAGGTGCAGTTTCAAGGCAGAGTGTTGTACACGAGATTCACGGGGTAAACAGCAATGCACTCAGAAAACTAGGCTACACAGGCAAGAAAGCTGGCACATGTGCTTTAGAGCCGCACACTCTGTCACCAGAAGCCCTAGGTCGTCATCCCGTGTTGAGACGCGGAAGAGTGAGGCAGCCCGACTTCTTCCCTGGGGCCCTGGGGCCCCGGGCCTTTAACTGGTTTCACGCGCACAGCTGGCCTGAGCGCGTGCGGCAAGGCCCATCAGCAAGCGGACCAGTTCAGATTCTTGGTTTTGTTGCCACCGCATGCCCTGCACCCTGCAGCCAGGCGACCCCGGTGGAACATGTGCTGCCCGCCTTTCACTCGCCATGAGGGCTGCCTGTGGTAACTTTCACGAGGCTGTCTGCTCCCTGACGACAGGAACTTCCCTGCCGCTGTCGTGCCCAGCACAGGCCAGGCCCACCGCTCCAGAGGCAGGCTCTGGCTGAGTTCATGATGGCCCGCTAAGCCGGTGGTGCAAATATCAACACTAATTGGTCCCTGTGCCATTATGGAATGATTAAAGACCAGGCAGTTTTAAAACTCTTAGCCCTCTGAGTGTAGTAAATGTACCTGATTTTCCTCTGGGGATAAAGAGAAAAAACAAAGAAAGAAAAACAGTGTGCTCGGGGAGGGATGTGGCAGGGAGGAGGCAGACACATACCGCAGTCATGACACCCAGCCGGTCTCCCTCGTGCGCCAGGCTGTGCCGCCTCTTTCGGGGTGGGGAGGGCGCCCTGCTGGGCGGGCAGGAGCTGGCAAGTGAGGAGGCAGGACACAGGTTGAGGGAGCTCAGGGACTCAAAACGCCGAAGGCTGCCTAAGCGCGCCCTGCCCGCCCTGCTCTCAGTCTCCTCGGCCCGCTGCTCCGTGCTCTCTTCCTCTTGGATCCACCTAAAGGAGAGCAAAACTCGTCAGCTGCCTCTGTCAGCACAGGAACCTGTCTGGACAGCAAATTTGGGCTGGCATTCTGTGTCACGATGAGCCAATTCCGGGAACATCTGCTCATTTCACATCTCGGCTAAAAGGTTCGATTTTCCCTCTTTTGAATATTCTCAAACTTGGAATAACTGAGCACTGAGTCTTACAAACTGGCCCCTGGTCATTCACGTTTGATTTGACTCCTTTACGTTAACATTGTGATGGGGCCCGACTGGCGACTCTCTCCCTGTGAGGAGATACCTGAAGTTGACAACCTTCACCTTCCCTGCTCTCAGGGCAGAGGTGCACGTCAGGGCCTCAAGTCTTTGCCACTGCAAATCGGGAACTCTCTATAACCAAAACAGCGATTCATGAACAAGCTGGAGTTTCTAAACAAAAGTCCCCAGACCAGATGAAGTGCTGAGGGGATTTTTCTTTTCTTACGGTTGCATATGTACAAACGCATCACTTGATGAAGTTCTCCACCAGCTTTGTGCGAGTCTCTGGATTCATGTCAATGTGCCGCACTGACATAGAATTCACCCTCACTGCTCTTCTGCCCTAATGTGTAGTGGAGGATTTTAAATAGCAGTTGAAATACTCGATGATGCATATAAAATGACTTCCAAAATAAAATACAGGATTCTTGCAGGTCATAACCTCTCCAGCTTCACTTCTACCTATAAGTCCTGAAAGTTTTTCACTGGTGATAGCAAGCTGATGGACAGGATTTGCCATTTATAACAAGTCAACTTACTGCCTAAGGAAAATTCACTTTACCTGACAACTTGCTGTTCAAATAAAAATACTAACATGGAACCGTTCCATCGTTCCTGCGGGGATGGGGAAAGCCCATCTTTCTGAGCTCGTCTGAGCTGAAACAGGGCCCAGGAAGCAGTCTGTCTCGGCGTCAAAAGTGCAGGCGGCACCACCTGCGTTTGCTGGGTGTGCCGTTCACCCCTGACTTTCCCCCGAGCCCTGCGTGCTCGGCCCGCAGGCACGGGCACCTCGGCCTGGGCTGACGTGACGAGAACAATCTGAGCAGCAGCTCTGCCTGGTCCTGCACAGGGTCACCGGCCTGCGGCCACTCTGGACGTGGACCCGGGACAGGGGCGTAGCTGTGCGGGTGTGGCCCAGGCAGGCCTCGGGGCCCCCGGACACCCGGCTGCACCCAGACCCAAGGCCCACTGCTCACCACGAGGCGGGCCTTTGCCTTAAATCCCGTGTTGTAAACTGTTACAACTGCCAAGACAGTGTCTAAAGAAAACATCTGAAATATCCTGATGAGATGAGAGAAACTCAAACATATGTCCTTGGACCACTGTCTTACAACAAGCCAATCTTCACACTGTATTAACTTGAAAAGGACAATGCAGATCTGAATGGGAATTTGCCAACCCCCAAACCCCTGCTTTTCTGTTCCAGGTAGCTTTTCACCAGAACGTGGGAGTCTCCGATGGACACGGGAGGGTGAACTCTCAGTGCTGGAGGGCACACGGGACGCAGAGGACACTGCGTCAGCACCTCACCCACCTTGGGGCTCAGAGCTGGGGGAGGACACCCCACAAAGCCCCCCCACAGAGTGCTGACACCAGCTGTGGACAGAACGGCCTGCCTGTCTGAGCTCTCTCATCAAGGGTGGTCTGAGAACTGAAAATCCTTGAAGCAGGCCTGAAGTCAGTTTTCTCACTATGGAAGACTCAAGACTTCTCGTAGGAGAAGACAGCTCCTCAGAGAAGCCCAGTTTCTGGGGAGCCGAGTTCGGGCACACCCACCGGGTCTCCTCACTGATGGTGTCCAGCTGCTCCCGAGGCATCACAGGCAGAGTGTCGGCATCGGCCTGCCCACTGGGCAGCAGCTGACCGGCCGAGCTGAAGAGGGTGACCCTGTCGCCCTCGCCGTCAGACACATCCTCGTCACTCTCGAAGTCCTGGGCCATGGTGGCCACCACGCGGGTCTGCTGCGCGGACTCCCAGTCCTGCTCCCTCTGGCTCTGCACCTGGGCATGAGAGGACCACGGCTGGTCAGCGACATTCAGGACAGCTCACGTCTATCAGGAACCGAACACAATTTTACATGGAAGCCCGACTTTGGATAAACGGCCATGCCTATGAGACACTGCCATCTCTTAAGCGAGCAGTACTGAAGAAATGGGCAGGAGGAGAATCCAGTTCCTAGATGGCCTGCTGACACTCAGGTCAGCATGGACGGAAGGCAAGCCTATCAGGTAATTCACAAGAGTGCGCTGACGGAGTCAGGGACAAAAACGCAAAATTGCAAACATACATCCATGCCTCCATCAGGCAGGCTGAAGGAAAATAAGAAGGAAAAAAATCCTTCTGCTCCAAAGCCGCTGGGTCCGCCTCAGCGGTCGTCACTTGTACTAGTTCCCCGAGGAGTGCCGTCCTCACAGGTTCCCAGCCCTACGT